CACTGAGATTTTAGTGTTATTTGTTACCAAGGCACAGAAGCCAAAACTTGGACCCAATCCATTCTAGGCTTTCAGGCTCTGCTCTTTGTTCTCACAGACAGGAGCCAACATGGGCACTTTCCCCAGATGAGAAACTGAGAAGAGATGGAGAAGGAAAGAGGGGCAAATGAGTCAAAGGACACTTCACACAGCTGCTGGCTCTTATCCTCAGTGAAACACAATCTGTAGGAGGCTCATCTGTCTCAGCTTCTTCTCCTAGAGTTTAAGGCTGTCATTGTCAGGTCAGCCTGCAGCAGGGGTCTGAGACTCAGTGCAGGGCTGTGCTATCTCCACTGAGACTGTATTGTGATACCTGCTCTTTTATTATTCTTAGATATCTTTGTAGTTGCCATTTCTTGAGATCTGCCCCATCCTCCTCCTCCATGACCCCACACCTGGCCCCCTCAGGAGCAGCTCTTGATTAGAAAAGTGGATGTTCTTAACAGGATTTGCCACTGATTTTTTTAGTCATTATTTTTTTAGGCAAAGTACAGAGAGTTTAGTAAAGTAAACAGAAGATTTATGTGAGTGAGCACAAATTAGGGCTAAACTTGAAGGGGAAAGGCAAGAATTGGGTGGGGAGAGGGTGCAGAGTTGCCAGGGATTTTGTTTCAAAAATATCAGTGGGATAAAATATCACCACTTGCCATATTTATGGTAAAGATGAAAGAGGGCACCCAGACTTAGTTTTTCTGGGTAATAAAAATGAGCTTGGATTTGCTTGCAGATTCTCTCCCTAGCCCTGTATCTTTATCTGATTCCTGAAATTATTATAACTATACAAGAAAGAAATAATATAATGAAAGCTGTTCAAATAGGTCAACAATATTAAATATAGCTTGCAGTTATTGGTCACTTACATGTGTCAGATACAGTCCAAAATGCTTGATACACTCTAATTCTTTTAATCTTCACAAACTACCCTATGAGGTGGAAACACTGGTATAATCCTCGTTTTACAGATGGGGATGCTAAAGCCAAAACTGACAAGGTTGCAGTTGTATCATGGTAGAGCTTCGAACAGTCTGATTCCAAAGCTTGTGCTCTTAAACATGATATGTGGAAGGTTGTCATTCTTTGTAGATAGAAATGGTGAAATAGTACCTGATTAAAAAAAAAGAAACTAAAAATTAACTCACAGAACAGAAAATCCAGTGCCTTCCTCCCCAAAAAAGAATAAATAGATGCTTAAATTCACTGGCAGTCAGGGAAACAACAATTTTAAAAATAAAAGCAATTATATATGTCACTTTACACCCATCAGACTGATAAAATTTTAAATATTGACAACTTCCTGACAAGGATCAAGGATATTTATTAAAACTGGAAATTCATATGCATATAGCCTGTGAACCTAGCAATCCTGTTTTTGGGATTCTATTTCACACAAATTAAAGCACTGTTGAATTACAGTAGATGGGGTAGAGAGAGAAGATGGGAGGGGAGGGGAGGGGAGGGGGGATAGTAGAGGATAGGAAAGGCAGCAGAATACAACAGACACTAGTATGGCAATATGTAAAACAGTGGATGTGTAACCGATGTGATTCTGCAATCTGTATACGGGGTAAAAATGGGAGTTCATAACCCACTTGAATCAAATGTGTGAAATATGATATGTCAAGAACTATGTAATGTTTTGAACAACCAACAATAAAAAATTAAAAATAAATAAATAAATAAAAGAAAAAAGCTTATGTTATAATGATACTTATTGCAGTATTTTTGCAGTGGCAAAAAATATTAAAACTCTGAAAAATTAATGAATACCCATCACAATGGTAGATGACTAGATGCATTATCATGTGCATCCACCATGGAATATTATGGAGCTTATAAAGCTTAATGAGTTTGAGTTAAACCAAAGGGCTTAAGGGATCTCATAAGGTTCTGTTGAATGGGAAATGCCAAGTAAGCAGTGATCCTAAGATCCCATTCATTAAAAACAGTGACCCCCCCTCCAAACAAAAACCTTGCACATATAGAAGTTTATACATAAGCATGTGCATGTAAGTATATGATTTAAATATCTGATTTTCACAGCACAGAAAAAAAAGATGGAAAAATATATATAAGGTTGTTACATGGACAGTATTTATGGGATTGCTGATGTGAAGGGAGGAGGACAAGTAAAGAGCAGAAAAAATGGAAAACTCATCTATATGATTATAGTTAGACAGTTCTACAGTGTTATATTTAAAAATAATATTTTAACAGATATAATTAAATAATATTTTTTAAAGATTGGAAAGCAACAGATGGTTAATATGATCATAAGGCTTTCCCTGGACAAATCTCCCACCTTCTTTCTATGGTCTGTATTTGCCAGTGTTCAGCCTTTTGTTTCTCCCTCCATTGACATATCTAATGCAAACCAATGACCCCAGAGCTCTAATGCAATGGACCTGCTTGGGTGATGCAGCACAACCCATCTCCAAGTAGGGGAGGAATGCAAAGACAAAACCTTTGGGTCATCTTTATTGGAAGGGACAGCAGACTGGGAGTAACAGTATCTACCAGTCTGTGGCCATTTCAGGTTTTTTTTTTTTTTTTTTTTTAAGTTGTAGATAGACACAATAACTTTATTTTATTTATTTATTTTTTAATGTGGTGCTGAGGATTGAACCCAGTGCCTTAAACTTTAGGTAAGTGCTCTACACTGAGCCACAACCTCAGCCCACCATTTCAGTTTTTATGAATCACATCAAAATAGAACCATCCACATCTCTTGCAACACAATGCATCATGTTTTATAGATTTCAAGAGAGAAACAAGTCATAAATACTCCTTTTCCTGAGTGCAATAATACCCCTTTTATATGGCTTTTTTGTATGCATAGTTTTGAATGTGGGGGTCCCCTGAAACACCCAGACTGCTTCTCAGTAATTGAATGAGGGAAGATAGACAGTCTAGTGTTAGGTGGGGACAAAATGATCCACTCTAACAGTTACCCAAACTAAAGAATAAAAAAGAAGACTTTCAGTTAATAGGAGGGTAACATTTCATAATCCAAACCACACTTGGCACTATGTGTAACGGTCACTGCTGTGTCATCTGAAGGTTGTTTATCTCAGTAGACTCATGGTTGGTGGAGACACTGGAGGGGAGTTGAGTTCTTTCTGTAGATCTGATTATTTCCTGCCCCAGACTTACCCAATAGGTCTCAGAACAGATAAAGATGTATATGTTATCTATTGTTGGTGAATAGTGATTTTTTAAAAGAATCAGTAATCTACTATTGGAATAAGCCTTGTTCTTTGACTCAGTCATTCCTAGACTTCACTTCTGATTGGCTTTAATATCATTGATTCATAAGTTATTGGCTGGATAACTATGTCAATACATGGAATGCTATTGCCCCTGAGGGTAGTATCAGTTCAGTTTTAGATGTTTTTATAGAAGGCATAGATTCATTAAAGGAGAAATTCAAATATTTAATAAGTAGGACCATATAAAAGAATACCTTTATTAAAAACCTAATAACCTTAGCACTGTCACTTTAAAAGTACTCAACAGTTTTTCATGAGACATCTTGTAAATAATACAGAACCCTTTTGAATAATGGTTGTTTTTTGTTTTGTTCTGTGGGGCTGGGAATAGAACCCAGGGTTTCATGCATGCCAGGTAGGTGCCCTACCACTGAGCTACACCTCAGCCCTATTGAATAATTCTTTTTTAAGCTGGCAGGGTTCTGATTGTTATGATGCATTTTATTAGATACATATTTCTTTGTATATTTTTGGGAAAAGCCATCAGAGACTTTATGTGACTCATTTCCTATCTTATCCATTTTATTTCTGGGCTCAGAGTTTATTAGGACTGGTGCTTAAAAATTAATAACTTTAATGAGATACAATTTATTTACACACTTCACCTATTTCAAAGGCACAATTGAATGATTTTTAGTATATTCACAGAGTTGTCCATCCATCACCACAGTCAATTTTAAAGAATTTTTAACACCTCCCAAAAGAAAAGGAAAAAGCCTATTAGCAGCCACTCATTCCCCCACTCCACCTCCACCATAGCTCTAGGCCATCAATGATCTTTCTGTCTGTATAGATTTGTGTATCCTGGACATTTCATATAAATGCAATCACTCAATATGTAACCTTTCATAACTGGCTTCCTTCACTTAGCATTATGTTTTCAAGGTTCATCTGTGTTACAGTGTATATTAGTAATTCCTTTCTGCTGACAAATACTTCATTGTAGAGACTACGTTTTGTTGATCCATTCATCAGTTGATGGATACTTGTCTTGTTTTCACTTTCTGATGTTTATGAATAATGCTGCTATGAACATTTCCGTGCAGTTTTTTTATATGAAGGTCTGGTTTTTTTAGTGATTCCACTGCCTTTTTAAATAAAAATGACATTACAGCTAAATAAGACTCCCACATATTCCTCCTGCTCAGCACCTTCTCTCTAGGCCCACGAAGTATCTGAATTGCAGACAAGATAGCTGAGATCCAGATAGGAAAGGTGGCTTCCCTGGGCACACAGAGCTAGGAAGTGGATGGGGTCCTGCATCCAGGTCTCTTGCTCCCAGCTTCAGTTCTTTACCAACCAATATGGAAGTGTGAAGGCCAGAGAAAACCTAAAGCCCACAATGCACAGATTTGTAAAGCCTTGCAGGCTTTTTTCTATTTATTCATTCTTCTGTTTTATCACTTACAACAGTGTGGTCTGATCTGAAAATGAAAGAAGAACATAAGAGTTAGAAGGTTCCTTCGACAATTTTTTAGTCTCATCGCCTGGTTATACAGGTGAGGAAACTGAGGCTCAGAAAAGTGATGCAACTTATCACCCAAGATCACACTGTTAATGGTGGAGCAGGAACTGGAACTCTTGTCTCTATTCCTCATCCCTGGTCCTTGTCTGTCCCCTGGGTGAGCATTTGTTGCCCAGGAGCTAGCTGTGCGAAGGAAGTTGCAAAGTTATTTTGTGTCTTTTCTTTAATAGAATCCCGTCACAGGGCTGCTGTCAGCCAGCCATGAGCAGAAGGATGCCTGGGTGCGCGACAACATCTACAGCATCCTGGCTGTGTGGGGACTGGGCATGGCCTACCGCAAGAATGCCGACCGCGATGAGGACAAGGCCAAGGCCTATGAATTGGAACAGGTAATGGTGACTGACAGCCATATCTTGGCTGTTAAGCACATTTTCCTCAAGAAAACCAAGGAGGAATTAGCTTTGTGTGTAGAACTGTTGAGATGCAGGTCTCTCTTCCATTTCTGCTATACAGTGTTTTGGAGAGGCATTTATATGGTCTCAACCTCACATGCATCTTTCTGTTTGAGACATTTTTCCCCTCCATAAAATAATGACATCAAAAATCATACCAAGGGGCTGGGGTTGTGGCTCAGTGGTAGAGTGCTCGCCTAGCATACATGAGGCACTGTGTTCAATCCACATAAAAGTAAAATAAAGATATTGTGTCCATCTGAAAGTTAAAAAAAAAAAAAAAAACCCACACCAAATAGGAAATGAAACATTCAAATTTCTAACTCTGGAGTGTTGATTTGCCTTATGAGCTATATTTCTCTCACACATTTTATCAATTTTTATACATATTTTTATATACAAGACATCATTATAAACTAAACGTGATTATTTTTAAAAAGTACTCTTCAGGGTAGCCACATTGAAAGAATATTTATCCAAACATTATTGCCACTGCTTAAAACATTTTTGAAACTTCACTTAAAAATAACTCTAGTTTGAGTCACTCCAGGAAAGCAGTCTTATTTATTCATGGTCACCCTTAGTTTCACACCAAATTGATATTACACTATTTTTCTGCCTGTTATTCACCATACAGCACAATTAAGTCCTTTGTTGTTGTTGTTGTTGTTGTTGTTTCCCAAAATCAGAAACCAAGATACTCACCAAAGCAAAGATTTGTCATCAGTGAGTTTGGAAGAAAATATTCTGCCCTTAAGGATGGGAGGTATTTTCCAAATATTTTGATAACATTGAGATAGGGAACACTGAAATATAAAAGTATAATTCTTTAAGCATGAGAGCCTTTGGGATTTATCTTTATAAAGATACTTCTGTATGTATGTGTCCTGAGGATTGAACATGCATGCTAAGCACACACTTTACCACTGAGCTATATCCCCAGCCTTACGATTCGCCTTTAATTCATACATTTCTGGATGACCCTCACAGCCAGTGGATCGTCAGGTCTTCCAGCTTAGTGGGTGCTTGTTTATAGCAACCAAAGTGGACATAAGTGGCAGGCAGCATGAGGGAAGCTTTGAGAGCCATGAGGAAACTAAGAAAGAAAGCTTATCCGTGGGAATAAGGCTTGTATTTGGTCAGAAATGCTGAGTGTAGGATGATGAATTCACTCAATTTTGGGGTTAAGGCAAGTTTAAAATTTGGATACAGAAAGCATTGAATTGTCCTCCAAAAAGGATGAGATTTATGTAATCATTCATTTATTAGTAGAATAATTTGACGTGAATGTCTTACAACTCTCCTGTCACCTTTTGAGACAAAACCAAAGTAAAGCAGTATCCAATCTCTCTCTCTCTCTCTCTCTCTCTCTCTCTCTCTCTCTCTCTCTCTGTATGTGTGTGTGTCTCATACTCAAACATACACTCTTTCTCTCTCTCTCTCCTACTTGGGCTGGGTTAGGGTTGACTGGATTTGTTGCTCCTTGATTACCAATAATGAGACACAAAAAGCACACAATTTTTCATAGTTAAATCCTTTTATTATTTGATGAATGTGGTTAATGACATCTCCCTTCATGATAGAAAAAAACAGGATGATACTCAACAGGAACACTATTGCATTTTGGGTTCATTGTGTGTGTGTCTCATGCATTGTGGGACACTTAGGGACTCTTGTCTCTACTCACTAAGTGCCAGCAGCTCGCACCTTTGCCATGATGATTAAAATACCTCCATCCCATATTTCTAGATACTTACTTCCTGGAGATGGCAGTTATAACCTCCAGCTGGGAACCACTGTGCCTCTGCCTAATGGAAAATAAATTTTCTTTAGTTGGCATGGACAGTGGGGAGTCAATTGACAGATGTTTACACTATATACACTGTAGGAAATGTTAATTATAACAATGCTAATTTTACCTCATAATTATGAGATAACATTTTCTGCCTCAATAGAATTCATGATATAAATTCAGATTATATTCTAGAATCCTAGGACTTTAGAGACAGAAATTCATTGACAATGCACTTTTGAGCCCTTTTACTGTGTCTTCCCCTGCAAATCATATATGTTCTGTAAGAGAGTATATACTCATGTCCCTGGGTGGAAATGTCTTTCCTCCAGGCTACTTTGACCTACAAAATATCTTCTGCTCAGCCACTCATGAAGTAGTTGTATAGTGTTCTTAGCAGACCATGTTCATACCAGTCCTTTATTTATTTATTTATTTAAGTACTGGGGATTGAACAGACTGGTCTTTAAATGGGCTGAATTGTGGAGAAGATGGGAGGCAACATAATGGACTGGATAAGAGCTCAAACTCTGGCTTCTGAATGTCTGAGCTCTATTCTTGCTCTACCCCTTGTCAGCTGGAAGACTTGAGCAATATTACTTCAGCTCTATTAGCCTCAGTCCCCTCATCTACAAAATGGGGTAATAATGCTATATAATAACCTCATAAGGCTGGGGCAAAAATTTGAGATAATCTAAGTGTTTTAAACAATGCCTGGATGTAATGTCTAATTGATTAATGTAGTAGTACTGTTATTATTTATAATGATGATAATAGCAATCAGTTGCAATACATCACATTATTAAGAAACATTGGCTACCACTCAAATTTTGTAAGAACTTTACTCAATAGTCCAGTAATGGTGTCACAAATGGTTCTTTTGGTGTAACATCATTATTTGGGGGCAGGCATGGTGGAGTTAATTTATCTTTAATATACAAAAATAAATTACTGTGAAATTTGACATAAAATTCCCAAGCACCAGGTTTATAAAAATTGTGTTTCTAAAATGTCAGTGGGGAGTCACTGAATTGAACAGCCAGAAGACTCCATCTGATCTAACCCTTTTATTTGAGAAAGATCACTTCGTCAGAATTTTTCTTTCTTTGCGATAGAGAAATGGCAGACCACTTGAAATACTCATATATGTATATGCCCTTTCAGGGAAGTTGCCAGGCAGCACTAGCTTACCAGCCACTGGAAGGCCCAGAGGTGGTTTTCTGTGAGCGAGGAAGCCAAGCCTGGTTACTGACACCACTTTTATTTCCGCAGAACGTGGTGAAGCTAATGCGAGGTCTACTCCAGTGCATGATGAGACAGGTAGGTGGAATGTGCAGATGTGTGCTCGAAGAGCATCTGAGTGGGCATTTTGTGTCATTTTAATTGTGACAATTAACTTACTTGGTGTGTTTTGAACTTTTCTTCTCAAGAGGGAGAGAAATTTAAAATATTTTGCCATGGTCTCACAGAACACTGTTTCTGAGAATCTCTTTTGAATAATTACATGTGTAAAAGGAAAACATTTCTTTCAAAAAATTAAGAAAATATATTTTTTTAAAAGCCATTTGTAAGCTGGGCATAGTGATGCATGCTTGTATTCCCAGTTACTCAGGAGGCTGAAGCAGGAGGATCACAAGTTCAAGGTCAACCTCAGCAATTTAGCAATACCCTGTCTCAAAATAAAAAGGTCTAAGGATGTGGCTCAGTGGTACACTGGGTTCAATCCCCAGTGCAGGAGAAAAAAATTTTAAAAAGCTACTACTAGAAAGCTATGTGCTCTATCAAGTTTGTAAAGGGTATGTTTTCATTTGAGATGAAGTGTTTGAGTTTTTAAAACTTACCATTACTATTTTCTGGTAGTTTCAGTGAGGGGTAAATAAAACAATTGGTTGAACATGTACTTTATACAGAACATTATACTAGAATCTACACAAATTCAAAGATAAATGCCATCCAGTCCCCAATCCTCAGTCAGCATGTTCAAAGACATACTTGCTCTTTTTCTTCCAACATTAGGAAAGGAGAAGTTGAAATTTAAACAGGTCCTCTTCCTTCGCTGCCTCCTTGAGTACCTACTATATGTCACAGCTGGGTTTCTATAGACAAGGAACGCTTTGGCATGACCCTGATCTCTGCAGAAATTGTTAAAACCCCTTGGGCTGGAAAGTTTCCCGTGAATGGGCTGGAAGAATCCACAGCACAGCCCTATGTTTATTGCACACTAGCAGCTGCCTCCCATCCCTCTGGCTTCCAGATGTAGCAGATAAGAAGTTTAGCTCCAGTTGATTGGCCTTGGGTGACCTATGCCAGCCATGAACCTGTGTAGCTATGTGGAGCCAGCTTGCCTTCTCTCTTAGGTGGACAAAGTGGAGAAGTTCAAACACACTCAGAGTACCAAAGACAGTTTGCACGCCAAGTACAATACCTCCACCTGCAGTACCGTGGTGGGTGATGACCAGTGGGGCCACCTCCAGGTGGATGCCACTTCCCTCTTCCTCCTGTTCCTGTCCCAGATGACTGCGTCAGGTGAGTCAGGGCCATTTAAGCCCATTATTTAGAAAGTGACAATCCAGAAATGGAGGGGGCAATGTCAATCTGTTTTGCTACTACAAAGAATACCTGAGACTCAGAAGTTTAAAATACAGAAATTTTCTCACAGTTCTGGGGTCTGGGAAGTTCAAGATCAAGGCACTGACAGGTTCAATTGTCTGGTGAGAGCTGCATCCTCTGAAGGGGAGGAATGCTGTCCTCTCATGGCAGAAGACAGGAGGACAAGAGAACTGAATGTTGTGTAAAGCTTCTTTTTTAAGAGTCGAATCCCATTCATGAAAGAGAAGCCCTCATGGCCTAATCACCTATAGGCCCAACCTCAATACCAGCAGATCAGCAACACTGAATTGTGGAGGGGACACATTTAATCCATAGCAATCAGTATTTTAAATGAGCAGTTTATGCAAAGGAAAAGCATGTTCTCTGATAACACATGCAGTTGTGTCTGTGATAGGACAGGTAGTGTGGGGACCTTGTCTGTGACCTGCAGATAGGACAGTCTACCTCTACCCAGGCACTTGCAGGATGAAGGCTGTTGAACCAACTCTGTTAGCTTGTTGCTGTGGAACCCTCAGCTTCCATCCTGTCACTCTCCTAGTTCTTGGAGCAACCTAGAGCAGTTCAAATACCTGCAGACAATCTCATGCCTGCTCTTAGACTTTTTTTTTTTCCAGGATTAGCACCTCGTGCCTTCAGCTTTCCCTCTCACTATCTGGTCACCCTTTTCTAAGATACATCCTCCTTTATCTAAGTTATATTTGAACAACACCATTCCCTCCACTCTATGGGGTCCCCAGAGTGAGCTGAGAAGCCCATAGCACCTATGCTGTGAGGAGGCCTGCAACTTGTCAGTGGTATACATTGTTCCTGGTGAGCCAGAGCCACTGGCTTCTATGACAGGTGAGATGCCAGGTCTTCAAGCTCCAGGCTGCAGCTGTTTTTCACATACCTTTCTCCCATAGGAGCGTCCACTAAGGATGCTTCCCAAGTTGGACTGACTCTGTCTCAGAGTTCTCATCACCAGTCCACTGAACTGACATGCCTGAGGCCTCAGACTGCAAGTGTGAAACTTGAAAAAAAGTCCCATAAATCAGCAAGCAATATTTTTATAGCTTTGTCAATAAAGCACACGCTGATAAAAAGTAATTTTTTGTTATGGAAGTTAATGAAAGTCAATATGAGTTAATATGAGTTTTCACTATAAATATTTCAGAAAATGTGGCAAAATACAAAGAAAAAAAAATTACACTGCCACTTTTCATTTAGATATGTCTCCTCCACATCTTTTTTCTATGCATTTTTATATAATAAGTGTTATATTATATACATAGTCATTTTATTACATAAAAAGATAGTTCAATACCCCAGTTATAAAGCAGAAAAAGGAAGGAAGGAAGAGAGGGAGGGGTGGGAAGAGGATAGGAAAGAAAGAAAGAAGGGAGGAAATAATGGCATTTCCCCCATAATCTTTTGTTTTTACTTTTTTTTTTTTTAGTTGTAGATGGACACAATACCTTTATTTTATGTATTTGTTTTTATGTGGTGCTGAGGATCGAACCTAGTGCTGAGGATCGAACCCAGTGCCTCATGCATTGTAGGCAAGCGCTCTACCACTGAGGTACACCCCTAGCCCTCCCCCATAATCTTACAAGCTCTTCACAAACATTATTTTAGTAACTTTATTAATGGGTATACTATAATTAAATTATTCCTTTATTTGTTTTGCTGTTATAACTAATGTTGCAATATCAACTTTAATTTCATCTCTATTCCTTCTGAAGATATCATTCAAAGGCGATGTATATATATATTGCCATTTCATTTTCAGTCACTGGTTGTTTAGCTTGCTAGTTAAATTTTCTCATTGATATAAGAGCACACATCTTATAGTATTCATACCTGCTTTCAGAATTCAAACTTTAAAAATATGTGTATTTGCTATAATCGATTACATTTCAAGGGCTAAACAAAAAACAGTTTTCTTGGTCACTGCCTATTACAGTGAGTAAGGCAGCTGCCCCAGCAGGTCCTGAGAGCTGGGTTTCCCAGAGGAGGAAGGGCCTCTGGGGACTCTACTTGCCCTATCTGCCACTGGGGAAAAGTACTCACCCTTTCCTTTGGCTCACTCAAGGATAAGTACAGTGCCCTGGTTGTTCTGGGCTCCAATCCTTGCTTTGTTGCAACCTTTTCTGAACAAATCCAATTAGTGCCAGAGGGCCCATACCTTCTCTTTCAACTCTTTCTACCCAGTACACACACACACACACACACACACACACAGATGGAGCCATTATTTCCTCCCTTCTTTCTTTCTTTTCGATCCTCTTCCCACCCCTCCCTGCCTCTCTTCCTTCCTTCCTCTTTCTGAGATTATGTGGAAGTGACACAATCTCACAGCTCTAGTCTTGCTAACCCTTTTGCTTAGCCCCAAACACCCTGTCTCTCAAAGAATTCTATGATTTTTTTATGACTTGCCTCAGACTTAATTTTTGATGCCATAGTAAGAAAAATGAAAATGAGGGTAAAAGGATTTGTTTCCTAGCATGATATTTGTAATTTGTAACTAGCAGCTCTCTTCACAACATAACTTCAGCCAGACATTGTGGTATATACCTGTAATCCCAGCAACTAGGGAGGCTGAGGCAGGAGGATCACAAGTTCAAGGCCAGTCTCAGTAACCTAGAAAGTGCCTAAGCAACTTAGCAAGAGAGACCCTGTCTCAAAATAAAAAATAAAAGGGCTGGGAATGTAGCTCAATGGTAAAGCACCTCCGGGTTAAATTCTTAGTATCATAACGTTATTGTTTCTCTTTACTAGGCTTACGTATTATTTTCACCCTTGATGAGGTGGCCTTCATACAGAATCTTGTTTTCTACATAGAAGCTGCATATAAAGTCGCTGTAAGTATCAACACTGTTAGCTACCTTTTTCAGGTGTGCTGGATGTCAGAAAGGAAAAAAAAAATCATAGAATTCTTTGAGAGACAGGGTATTTGGGGCTACACAAAAGATTAGCAAGACTAGAGCTGTGAGATTGTGTCACTTCCACATGTAAATGCACATTTTTGTCCTGAGATCCAGTTGTGGGCTTCTTTTTTTTTTTTTTTTTTTTTGGAACACCCCACACTTGTTGTCTGAATTATTATGCTTATCTTAAATAAGACCCTAAAATGTCCCAGGGGGTATATATGTACAGGCCAGCCTGAGTCAGGCTGTAGAAGTGGCAGCATTGGCACCTTGGTAGGATCTGGGGTGCCATGGGGATCACCTTAGCCAGTCCACAGGCAGAGGGACCTAAGCTGGGGCATAAACAGGTATAAAGTCCACTTCCTCTGGGCTTCTGTCTGGCTTTGAAGTTGGAGCCTGATGCACTTCTAGACGACAACTGAACTATGCAGAGCAGTTGCAGCAGTTAGGAAAGGCAGGTTGGTTTTTTAAAATGTCACTATGGCTTAAGGAATGGTCAGCATACTTTTTCTGCAAAAGATAGGAGAGTAAATATTTTCGACTTTGTCAGGCCCTACAGCCTCTGTTGTGGCTACTCAGCTCTGCCTTTGTAGCGTGAAAGAAGCACAGGCATATGTACACAAATAAGCATGGCTGTTTCCAAAATAAACTTGGCAAAAACAGGTGGCAAGATTTGATCCAAGGACTATAGTTCACTAACCCTAGGTCAAAAGCAGCGATTCTCATTAAGGAGCAATCTTCCTCTCATAGGGTACATTGAACAGTGTCTGAGGACATTTTTTGGTAGTCATACCTGGAGAAGAGGGTACCACTGGCATCTAGTGGTTAGAGGAGTCCAGGGATGCTGCTAAACATCCTACAATGCTCAGAATAGCCCCATGAAACAATTATCTGGTCAAAATGTCATAAGTAGCAGAGTCGATGAACCTTGGTCTAAAGAAACTTGAGAAGCCTTGGAAAGGTAGGCCTTTAGTTGGACCTTAGGTGATAAGTAGGGTTTAGTTACCCAGAAGAGAGGAAAAATGGTGTTTTGAGTGTAGGAATAGCATGAGCAGTCAATAACACAGAGGTAGGAACAGGATGAGTTGGGAGGGGAGGTCAGGGTGCTTCAGGAAGAGAGTGCAGAGTAAAGGAACAGACTTAGGGTGAAAATTGACACTGGAAAATAAGGTCAACGAATGGGCATAAAGTGGGCAGAGGCCAGATCAAGTAGAATATGGCCATGCAGAGAGAGAGATGGATGATATCCACTAAGGAAGATACCATTTGTCATTTTAGACTCTGAAGTAGAGGGCTGGATGGACCCAAGAATTTTTTGAGGATGAGCACATGGCTGTGGGGTTGAAGTAAAGATGGGTTTGAGCAAAGGAAGGCCCAGACAAGAAGAATAGTGAAGGAAAGATGCCCAGGCCCAGCTAAAAGGCCTATTTGCAGGGAAGGATCTAAAGTTGCTTTAGTGTATCCAAGTTTTAGTGCTCACATTTTACAAATGATCCTCTTTGGAGATTGAAAAATACTGACATTTTGGTATTGATCTTATTCTTGTTGGATTATAATCTTTCAATAGTGTATGTACTGGGGCTGGGGATGTGGCTGAAGCGGTAGTGCGCTCGCCTGGCATGCGCAGGGCACTGGGTTCTATCCTCAGCACCACATACAAACAAAGATGTTGTGTCCACCGAAAACTAAAAAATAAATATTAGAAAAATTCTCTCTCTCTAAAAAAAAAAAATAGATGCTGTTTCAAAACAGCATCCAGTACTTAGGTTTTTAATGCAAGTATTCATCACTGAAGTTAGGTACATGTGTATGGAGTCCTCTGTGTGACAGAGTATTCTGAGCCAATTCACATTAATTGGTTTTTAAACACCATGTATGTTCAGTGAACTGTGCCTCACTTTTGACCTTGGCTCCAGTCACTGAGGTTTTTGCCCAAGTGGTAATGCTAAAAATAATTCTTAAATTATTTTAAATGGGTTTGTTGGCTTCAACTAATTATAACCCATGCATCAGAGTTTCTTTATTCCATCTTACAATTCAATATAAGTTCAAAGGCATTCACTAAATAGAAGAGCAGCAGTTTGATTTTAAGGTAAATAAAATATTTTGTTCTCTACAAATCAAGAGTTTTTTTATATAAAAATTAATCCCTTTTAGAAATAAGAAATTTGAGAGTGCTTTGGTATCCACTTTTGTTCCACTTGAGTATTTTCTTCTAAAATCCTGCATAGAGGTCACATGAACTGAAATTGAGGAGGACCAGGGTATGAGTATATAAAGCCATGAAGTTAGGAGCCTTTGAGAAGACATACTTATGTTTCATTGTTCCTGCAGTGACATAAGGGAATCATTTTCCATAACATGTCTCATATACCTCTTTCACCCCCTCTGATAACTATCTTTTTCTCTCCCAGGATTATGGAATGTGGGAGCGTGGTGATAAGACTAATCAAGGCATTCCAGAATTGAATGCAAGCTCTGTGGGAATGGCCAAGGTGACAGTCCTCTTGTTTGTTCCTTCTTCTGGGTGTTTTCGTTGCTTTGCTTGGATTCTTCATTAGGAGTTTGAATTTAATCTGATTAGCACATTTTTTAAAAGTCCACCTTAAGTATGTGAAATTCAAGTGGCACATGTACCCCAGCCAATTGAAATTATAGGTCAAGAAAGTAGGTTTCCTGTGCTGAAATCTGCATGTGTCCAAAAAATAAGTGGGCCTCATCTTTTTTGTCTGTCGTGATCACCAATGGGTCAAAGCTCTTGATCCTGTTTTAAGAAGCTGCAGGCATGATGTCCAGTCTTAATAGTGAAGGTTGAAGAATATGAGCACTTTGTAAGTTGAGCTCACAAATTCAAATCCACAAGATCAGACAATAATAACAAGTGAAACTGACCATATAGAAAAACATTGGGAGGAGAGGGGAGTATTGGGGATACTGGAAACTTTCCCTAAAAGTATTCCAATATTCTAATTCAAACTCATTTATAAAATACTCTTGAAACCAAACGAAGCTCACCTGTTGGGTAGATTATGTCTGTAGGCCACCAGTTTTCATCTCTTGCTGTAGACATTTTAACATGCCTCCTTCCCTTGCTGTTTTTTAAGACCAAAGTAGATTTTTTGGACAGAGTGAAGGCTTGAGCCAGAATTTTTTTAAAGTAACAATAAATGTGCTCTGTTAAGTATATTTAGGTAAACTGACAGAAAACACACTTATTCCTAAAAGAATTAACTTTCTAGAGTTTGTCTATTCTTCCCATGCTAAGGGGTGGGAGGGAAAGGGAGGGGGCAGGGTATTAACAAGGATGGTGGAATGTGATGGACATCATTATCCAAAGTATATGTATGAAGACACGAATTAGTGTCAACATACTTTATATACAACCAGAGATATGAAAAATTGTGCTGTGTATGTGTAATAAGAATTGTAATGCATTCCGCTGTCATTTATTTTTTTAAAAAAATCAATAAAAAAAAGAATTAACTTTCTGAAGTACCAAATGTGCTAATGGTAGAAGTTCACTGCTAAAATAGGTGAAAGAGAAGCCAATCATTAATCTAGCCCCCCAAATACGCACGTGTGTGTGATGATATGAATTTGTTAAAATTTCAGTTTATGGTAGAATGCTAATTTCATTTTAGGAAAAGTTTTCCTATTTTCTCTTTCTTGTTCTTGGAATGAGCAGCAACATATTGGAAATCTTTGAGCCACTGAAAATGAGTATAGAACATGACCAGAGGACTCCTTAACTGGATTTTAAAAATGTGTTTCATGGCCTTTGGGAAAATATGATGCTAGATTGCTTGTGAAAAAGGACTGTCAGATATTGGAATGTGTGTACATTAGAAAAAAAGTAATTCATGCCTGTATTTGTAGGCAGCACTTGAGGCAATTGATGAACTGGACCTTTTTGGAGCCCATGGAGGACGAAAGTCAGTAATCCATGTCCTGCCTGATGAGGTTGAGCACTGCCAGGTAACAGCTCAGTCTCCTGAATTCTAGAAAGTAGGGAAGGAGAATCATGGAGGAGAAGACCTGAGCTCTTATTTAGATTCTCCACCTTTCTAATTGACAAACTCATTTGAATGTTGCCTTAAATCTAAGGTTGTGGTCTCTAGATACTGTGTCTATTAGTGCTTCTCCAGGTTAAACCACCTTTTTGTTTTTTCATTTAGTCTATTCTATTCTCCATGCTGCCAAGAGCATCGACATCTAAAGAGATTGATGCTGGACTTCTTTCCATTATTTCTTTCCCAGCCTTTGCAGTGGAAGATATGAACCTTGTGAATGTGACCAAAAATGAAATTATTTCCAAGCTCCAGGTAAGCATTGGTTACACTAGTGCTCTTCCACCCTGTATTAAATGCCACTTTCACATGATGACATGAAGTAGGAGTAGCTCATTTGTGAGGTTAATGGCTTGTTTTATTTAAGTGGACTCATGTTTTATCCAAAGCTGAGTCTATAGGTGAGTAAACAAAGTCTCAGAGCGATGAAGTGCCTTAGTTCTCTTCATAAGTAGCAGAACTTTTACTCAGGCAGGCACTTTTGCCTTTATTTATCTTATTTGTTCTTTTTAGTTATACATGACAGTAGAGTGTATTTTGACATATCATACATACAAGGAGTATAACAACTTCCCATTCTTGGGTTGGACATGATGTGGAGTTATACTGGTCATATGTTCATATATGAACATAGGAAAGTTATGTCTTATTCATTCTACTGTCTTTCTTGTTCTCACCCTGCTCCGTCCCCTTCATTCCCCTTTGTCTAATTCAAACAACTCCTTTTCTTCCCTCCCCTCTCTTTAGCATCCGCATATCAGAGAGAACATTTGGCCTTTGGTTTTGGGGGATTGGCTTATTTCTCTTAGCATGGGAATCTCCAGTTCCATCCATTTACCCGCAAATGCCATAATTTCATTCTTCTTTATAGCTGAGTAATATTCCATCGTGTGTGTGTGTGTGTGTGTGTGTGTGTATCATATTTTCTTTATCCATTCATCTGTTGAAGGGCACCTAAGTTGATTCCATAGCTTAGCTATTGTGAATTGAGCTCAATCAGGCATTTTTGAATTCCTATTCCTACCACCACCATACTTCTAAGGCAGGGCTACTTAACCCTTTAGACATCATAGACAGTCTCCTTTGAGAATCTCTCAAAAGCTCTAGAATCACTACTAGGGAAAAAAAAAAAAGCACCTCTCCTGATGTTGTTGACTCACAATATCAGGAGACTTGGTGATCTCAGAGTTAAATTCAGGTTAAAAAATATCCTGTTTTGCAGAGAAATGCAATAACTATGACATATTACTCTAAATTAAAACTGTTATTAAGTACTCCACCCAACTGAAATTATCAGTAAAATTACCAAAGAATATAGGTTTCCTAAGTTGAAATCTACATGTTGATTATTCCACTTAGATTCAGAGAAAAATGGAAATGAAGGTGTTAAAGGGTCTCCAATCCTATTGCCAAAACAAAATGGCTGTAGTGGTCAGGTTCAGTAGAAACAAAGGAATCTCTTAAAGTATTTGGAGTAGGAAGGGAGCTAATGCAGGAAATGAAGTGCCTATTAGAGGAGTGGGTTGTGGGCTGAGCCCCCTGGGACAACTCCCAGGACCACATGGGGGCACTGCTCCAGGCCTCCAGGAGCAATGCTAGAGCAGGTCTGCTGCAGAGAGGTCTTACACACTGAAGAAACTGGAAAATGGACACCCAAAGTTGCCATCCAGGGATTAGGGGGTTAGATGAAGAATGCTGCACTTACCCTCCTTTCTTGGCACCTGGGAAGCTAGAGTCTTGCAGCAGGAAAACCAACAGCCACACTCCTAAGCACAGCAACCCCTCCCTCCCTCTCTGCCAAATCTTGTGACCACATGTGATGGCAGAGCAAACGGCAAGGAGTCTGAGGAGTGTCATTACGGCTTCCCAATCTTTCAAGCAGGAGCTAGCCAGTCCAAGTTATCTGCCTTGGTGGCTTCTCCAAATAGCTAGAGTCCCTTTGCATCTTTGTGTGACACAGTAATCACAATGAAAGAATGCTCAGTCACTGAACTTTTAGTAATTATTCTCACAGCCCCAATACTCCAGTGGAGCATTTCAGCATTTCTTTCCAAGTACTTTGCTTACTACTTAAAGAATAAGCCTTTATACTAATAGCAAAGAGCACTTGGGGCCTATTTTGTTACTAAAAGATTCATGGATGAGAGGATGAAGGGCTGACTTGAATTAAAATAAAAAAAGGCAAAGAAATTCTTGTGATTTCATCAAACGTATTTTATTTCTTTACCTTACTAGGGGCGTTATGGATGCTGTCGCTTCCTTCGAGATGGTTATAAGACCCCAAGAGAGGTTGTATTTAAATATTGTTTCTTACAGTCCTTTAACTGCTTCATATCTAACTTGCCAGTGTGTTGTTCTCCCTCTATTGATTATAATTATACGTTGGAATATTGGAAAGGGAAGTATTAATTTTGGAGTCAGCAAGCCTGGAGTTAGGCAATAGAATAGTAAGATCATCAAGAGGACAGCAAGCTGATAGTTTAAAGCCAGCTTATAGACAAGGACAAACAGTTCTGTGGCTCACACAGTTTTTTTTTTAAAGACCATCCATGGCCTCCTCCTTGGGTTTCTTTGTCACAGTGAGTAATATAATGAATAAATAAATAAATAAAACAGGTTGTCTGCCAAGCATTGCAATAGGGAAATTGCTATTTATTTGTTAGATAGGATGCTTTAGTGAAATAGACTACCAAGGAGTCTTGTGTATATTTCTGATTTACTTTCTGAAATTTTATCATGGAAAACTGTCCAAAATAGCATCTCCTCATTATAGGAGGCTCCTAATCATGCCTTCCTGAAAGCCACACTGAATCAGACAAGCAAGGAAAACCCAGTGAGACATGATGGTAATGTGTATGTAATCTGATATCACCTTTAAGAAACTTTACGTATGTGGCTGGGCATAGTGACACATGCCTGTAATCTCAGCATCTTGGGAGGCTGAGATAGGAGAAGCACAGTTCAAGGCCAGCTTCAGCAACTTAGCAAGACCTTGTCTCAGAATTTTTAAAAAATTATTTTAAAGGAGTGAGGCTGTAGCTCAGTGGTAAAGCACCCTGGGTTCAAACCCTCATACCAAAGGAAAAAAAAGTTTTATGTATTTGATTCCAGGACCCAAACCGATTGCATTATGACCCTGCTGAACTCAAGCTCTTTGAAAACATTGAGTGTGAGTGGCCTGTGTTCTGGACTTATTTCATCATAGATGGAATCTTCAATGGTGATGCTGTTCAGGTAAGAATATAGCAGGTGTTGTGCTGATAATAATGCTTTTTCACCTTACTGTTATGCTAATTATTAGTAGAACATAGGTTATGTAAGAATTTAAGTCATTCTTTGAGTTACCTGTTGCTGTTTAACAAACTCCCAACACTTAGTGAATCAAAACAACAACTCTTATTTATTTGCTCATGATTCTGCAATTTGGGCAGGGCCCATTAGGGACAGATTGTCTCTGCTTCTCCTGATGTCAGCTAGGATGTTTCCATGGGCCTACAGGATCTTCCTCACTCATGAGTTAATCCTGGTTGTCAAGTGATGCTAGGAGCTCAGCTGGACTGTTGAGGGGGTGCTTGGTTCTCCTTCACATGGCTAGCTTTAACTTCTCACAGCATTGAAGTCCCTAGGCCATTAGGCTTTTTACATTGATGGTTGCCTTCCCCACAGAACACAAAAGCATAGGCTGCCAAGCTTTCCTTAGGTCTGGAACTGTTTGAGTGTTATTCTCATCACATTCTGTCAGCTAAATGGCCATCCCATACAAAAGGAAGAGGGCACTAGACAGAGGCATGGGTACCAGGAGGCATGGTTTCTGTCTATCCCAGACTGGTTTTGTTATTCCTGTTCTTTCCAGATGAGCCAGTGGTTTTGCTTTCATTTCCTCTAGTTTAACTCGAGTTTTGCTGTCATTAGCTCTTATTTAATGTACCAGCCTAACTGGTCTCCCAATCTCCAGCCTTACTCCCTGTTGTTTTTATTCTCTATACCCAAGCCAGAGTGATCTCATTAAAAGACAAATTAGATTATGCTGCTGCCTTGCTTAAAAGCTTTGGATGGCTTTATGATTGCTTTTGGAATGAAGTCCAAGATCTTTATGAGTTTTGTTGGGTCTCATTTGCTCTGGTCTGGTTTCCACCACTGTATCCTGACTCCTTTCTGCTTACTACCTTCCTTGAGTTTGTAACCAGTACACTGAAATCCTTCTCAGTCCTTGCAGCAGGCCAGACTCACTTGCTACTCTTCTCAAAGACCTAGGACATTCTTTCTACCTGCAACTGACCCACTCCTTCACACAGTTCATTGTGGGCTTTTCAGAAAGCCTTCTTTTACCCTAAAAGCTGGGTTGGGCACCCCTTTTCCACACCTCACAGCACCTACAGCAGCATGGGTCACACTGGATTTAATCTCCCACTTCTCTATCAAAGGACCCTGGTAGAGGCAGTCTCTATCCAACTCACTGATATGTTCCCTGAGCCTAGTACTTAGTAAATGCTAAGTAAATACTGGTTAATGCAGCACTCATTTGTTCAAGACATATTTCTTTGGTTTCTACTTGGCACCAGGCACTGTGCTGAGCCTTGAGCATACTTTGTTAAACAGAGCAGATTTGTACTCTTGAAGCTTACTCGAAGCCCTACTGACTCCGATACTTTGTTATCTTCTCAGCCTGTTGGGTTTGGAGGAAGAGGAGATGAGCAATCTCAGATACATTTTAGGTTTTGAAAGCTCCCCTGGTCAGGAATTCAAAGCAGTAAGCTTGAAATGTTATTCTCTCATTGTTGATTCTTACTCTTGCACATTAGTGATTGTCTTGAGTCTTATGTCTTCTTTTTATCTGAGTGTTGAAAGATCTCAAAATGATTGACTTTGAATTTCAACTGTGAACAGACTTAACAATTATGGGAGGCAGGGAGAGAAAACAAAAATGACTACTTGATATTTTGTTTTGTAAGCCTCAACAGAGTCTACCACCCTATACACCTATACAAATGTCTTGTTGACATTTGTAAAATGATGCAATCATGATCATGCTTTCCCATTCATAAATATAAAATGAAAAGAAAAGAAAACTAGATCTGGGAGGTATTTGACTGGGCTCTCCAAAGAAAAAATATTAAATATCCAGGTGGCTGGTTCTGTTTTTCTTTTTTCTTTGTGGTGCTTGGGATTAAACCCAGGAGTGCTCTACCACTAAGCTACATCCCTAGCCCTTTCTATTTTTTATTTGGAGACAGGGTCCCACTAAATTACTGAGGCCGGCCTTGAACTTGTAATTCTCCTGTCTTAGCCTCCCAAGTTGCTGGGATTACAGGCGTGCACCCTCCTTCCTAGCACTAAATTTAAATATGTGAGAAGAGTAAAATATTTAAACAATGAGTTAAAGACAGATATGAGAACTGTGGGAATTCTGAGGAAGAAACAGCTAGTTCATGATGGGCTATTCTGTCCCTTTCCCCACAAGCTTGACAGGTGGGGCTGAGTTTAGACACACGCAAGGGAGGAATGAGCAGTTAGCAGGAGTCCCTCTGGAGCTCCTGGAGCAGACATGTTTGTATATTTCTTTACCCTATGTCCGACTTCTAATCTTTTTATTGCCAAGAGAACTGTTTTTCTAAGTTGTGCTGCTAATGCAGCATTAATCACCTGACCTTTTTCATGCTGAGGGTAAGGGGGCTGTTTTCCAGGTCCAAGAGTACCGAGAGGCCCTGGAGGAAATATTAATCAGAGGCAAGGACGGGATCCACTTGGTGCCGGAACTCTATGCCGTCCCACCTGACAAGGTAACCATGTGGCACAAAGCCTTTTGCACTGTTCATCTAGAACTAAACTGGTTGGTGCTTATCCTTTTGGTATTCTTCATCCCACTTCCAGGCCTGATGGGCATTTTTTCCTGCAGAAGTGGTTTCTTTTCTTTTTTTAAACAATATTTTTTTAGTTGTAGAAGGACACAATACTTTATTTTGTTTATTTAGTATTTTTATGTGGTGCTGGGGATCAAACCCAGTGCCTCATGCATGCTAGGAAAGCACTCTACCACTGAGCCACAACCCCAACCCAGGAGAAGTGGTTTCTGAAGCCTTAGGTAGTGTTACCATCATCACAAGGAATATGGCTTTAGGGAAAACATGTGGAACATGCTTGACCATGAGTGTCCTACGGAGGTGGCAGTTAAAGACCTTCAGAACGTACCTGCCCTCCCTGGACCCCAGGTAGAAGGAATGTTACAGAGCACAAAACACTGTTGTGCACCATGTTCTTATACATTGCCATAGAAGAAGAAACATATTTTAGGGGGATAATTGAGACTTTCCTCCTTTGAGTCAAGGGGTTCCTAAGCTAGAGTTTGAGTAATTGTCAGAAGCCAGTGTACATCAGGAAGAGAGAAACTGTCCAGTTCCAAGGAGATGACTGAAGATGATGATTTTATCCAGTTTCCTAAGTTGGGTCTGTTAGACCTCTGTATGGCTTGGTGGGAGAATTTCCCTGTAAGCATCTCATGTTTATAAGAAAAGAACTCTCCATTCAAGACTGTTTGTCCCTGCCATGCTCCTAGTGCTTTAAAGTTTCCTTATTGCATTTGTAGGATAAAAGGCCTTCAGAGAGCTGGCTCTCCCCAAGATCCACAGGGATCCAGCAGAAGCCTATCCTGAATCAGCTTGGATTTAGGTGTTCTGTGGTTGAATCAGGCCATACATATGGCCAGGGGACTTGCAGTGACCTTGGAAATAATCTGCCTCAGTTCAGAGAGGTTTTGGAACATGTCAAAGCTCAGACAGCACTGGGTTCTGCCCTGGGACCAGACGCCACATTCAGGGCCTCCCCACAATCCCACATTGCCTCCTAATGAGTGATATATTTTCACCTAATAAAAATATCTACATAATGGTTGCTCTCACTGGGTTTCTAAAAACACTGGTATAGTGGACTTTCCTTTACTTTTGCTAGAAAATACATTTTAAAGGAATCTGAGACTTGATCCTTAAAGCAGAAAAGTACCACTGTGTATTACTTTGGGTCTTATTTAATCTAGAAGGAACTAGTAAATGTTAGATAAATGAACCAATTAAAACAAGAAGAAAATAAAAGAAAGGAGTTGAGTTTCTGTAAGAAGTAGAATGTTCTACTAGGTGCATTTAGTTCTTTTACACTGATAACAGCCCATCTGACTTGCTGGTTCCCTACTGGTTCACTGGGTGGCACCTTGAACTGGCTGTATTCTTCCAGTGGTCTCACTCAACCCCACCAGTCTGGACCAATGGCCCAGCACTCTAGAATCTTGAAGCTCCCCCCTCATCCTGGCATGGATATACAGCTCATATCATCCAAGCTCTCTCAGGAGTAATTTTGTTCCAGAGTTAAGGGCAAGATTTAAGACAAGAAATATTTTTCCCTCACTGTACAGATCAGGCTGTGGAGCATGCTAGGACTCTTTTGATTTTTTATTTATTTTTTATTTTTTTGATACCAGAGAGTGAAGCCAGGGGCACTTAACCACTGAACCAAATCCCCAACCCTTTTTATTTTTTATTTTGAGACTGGGTCTTGCTAAGTTGCTTAGGGCTTTGCTAAGATCAGCTGAGGCTGATCTTGAACTTGCAATCTTCCTGCCTCAGCCTCACCAATTGCTGGGATTACAGGCATGTGCCACTGTACCTCGCTAAGGACTGTTTTCTGAGTGTTAAAAACTTTGATTTCCTGCAAATATATTCATTTTACTATGTGTGCTGTGGATGTGAGGGTAGAGCTGGGTCACTTTCCAGCAGCTACATGTTCCTATCCCCTGTTCAGGTTGCTCCTTTTCATATACTGAGGCATTGGCAAAATAAAATTAGTAATGGGTAATTTAAAACTTGGAAGCAGAGAAAAGGAAAACAAATCATCTCGGGGAATTTTACATATTGTATGGTAGAGAATAACCGTCCCTATTCTACCAAAAGGCACATTGCAGTGACCATAGTAAATGGTAGGTGTTATAAGCTGCATTTTGCTTTTTTTTTTTTTTTTTTTTTTGATATTAGAGATTGAACCCAGGATTGAACTACTGAGCTATATTCCCAGACCTTTATATTTTTATTTTGAAACAGGGTCTTGCTAAGTTACTGAGGATGACCTCAGACTTGCTATCCTCCTGCCTCAGCTTCCCCAGTCACTGAGATTACAGGTGTGTACCACACCTGGCCTGCACTTCACTTTCTAATGGACAGCACTGGATGCACATCATAAAAAGTACTCTGAAGCTCTGTCTCTTCTAAGTTCCACACTGATCTTTCAGTTTCTGCTTGTCATTACAACATCCTTCTGTATTCAGCACATTTATGCTTGTATGCTAAACATCAATTTTGGACACTATTTTACCTTAACTACATTTTGTATTGACTGCTTACAAATGACAGCTAGGAAGGTTCCTCAGTTACATCAATAATATGTAGAGACCACTGGGAAGGATTTCTGGAGACAGGACCACCACAGGCCCATATGGCAGCTTTGTGCAAATTAGCAAAAGCCCGGGGCCAGGGTGGCAAACAGCTTGGTTTCATCCTTGCTCATCTCAGCCACCATACTTGTGCCAGCCAAAGGGTCCCCTGTTGGACAGTTGGGAACTAATGAAATTGTCCCCAGCAAATGTGTAGTGAGCAGCTGCTTATGCCAGGTGCCAACCTAAGGAATGGAGTACCAATGTGGTTACCAAACCAGTGCTATCTCTGTGAGATTTGGCTAGTGGGGCCAGAGGAGCTAGGTCCAGAGATAGAGGCAGTGCAGGAGGCCACATGCATGGTGCATCTGAGCACCTGCAAGCAGTTCAGAAGGGCCAGAATAGATGGCAGGAGGGACCCTCCATATGCAGGGAGGTGTAGCCGTGGGAAGGTGGCCCAGACACCTTATCTGCTTTCTCATTCTAGATTTTTGCAGTCTTTCTTAACATCACTTAAATTTTCAAATAGCTTTTACATAATATCTGATTGTATAATATCTGCACACTACAAAACATCCAGGATTCTGTAAAGAAAGTAGAAAATATTTATCTCTAAGCATACTACCATAAGATAACATTTTAGAGAATCTCCTTCCACACTATTATCCTATTTGATGATTTGATTTCTACTGACATTTAATTGCATTTAGTTTATGTACTTAGTTTTTTAAATGTTTACCACTACTGAAAAAAAATTAAATTTTACTGAATATATTAATATCACTGATTAATCCACAAGAAGAGAATAACTCCCCTCATGGTATGATCTTCCCTTTGGAGAGGGATAAGTATTTCCTATTTCCTTCAATTAACCTATGTTTTCTGGAGGAAAGTGGTCAAGGACATTACCCCCAACCAACATTGCAATGACTAAAAACTCAAAAGGCAGCATGGAGTTTATAAGAGAGTAAGTCACAGACTAACTCACAATGGGTAGCCAGCACTGTCCAGCAGAGCCCAGGAGTTTATTTTGATAGACAGAAGCTCCCAGTGGGTTCTCTTTTCTGAAGCCCTGATGGACGGAGGGTTCATGGTCTAGCAGCACAATTGTTTTTCCACAAAAAATAGTGCCTCCTTCTGGTAATTTTCTTGCATAGGCACACCCCTGGCAATGGCAAGAGAGAAGAAACTAGACTTGACACCCAGCCAGGTACTGCCACAGCTGAAGGCTGCTGTTTTTGACCCTTTTACCCGTAATACAGCCATATGGAAGCACAAGTTGTGGAACTTCTTGATGCCCAGAGATGTGCATGAAGGAGGTAGTCCAGGCTTCCTGCACTTACTGCCCATAGTGTGCTTATGGGCAAAGCACTAGCCTGGGACCAGGCCTAGATTTGACATCTCTGCTGCTTATAGTCATGCTGCCCAAAGAGAGGGTCTTTTTACCTTCCTGGTCCCACATCCTGGCACTTGCACAGAATTGGTCTAGAGAATGAGAACCATTTTGTAAATCCTCAGTGTGTTCCCCAGTGTAAGGTGTCACTGGCCCTTTTATCCTCTGGTGGTCTGATTTTGGGTTTTGCTCTCTCTGTCAGGTGGATGAAGAGTACAAGAATCCTCACACGGTGGACAGAGTTCCTCTGGGGAAGCTGCCCCATCTCTGGGGTCAGTCCTTGTACATCCTCAGCTCCCTGTTGGCAGAGGTAGGGGGCTTGGTGACTTTACCGGCTGGAAACCATCTGAATGGAGGTGTAGGGAATCCTGGAAGAGCACAGGGACTGTCTGCACAGCGTGATTGTCAGTGTCTTCTGCATCTCCATGTCTTTTGCATATTCTTGCCTTTAAAATCAAATGCACTGTGTTGGCTCTCACGCTTGACTCCTATCCTAGTGTGTTCATATTTACATTAACCAGGTCAGATCAGCCACATGCCAAAATTCCCTGTCCCTCCTCCTGCTGACATTCCTGTCTCTGGCTAGAATGCATATAAATTGATGGTCAGCAGGAGCTGGACATTTCTCAACCAGGATTAGCACATCTGATCCTGGAAGATATGGGATGGGATGAGTGAAGCTGCCCTGGCCCCAGCCCCAGGCACAGGAAACAGGAGGACTTCCAGATCTCTCTACTAGAGGAGGCAGCAGGTCCAGGTGGTCCCTCAGACAACCTCCAACTCGCGACCCGCTCCCCCAGAGTCTCCTGCCTCTTGACCTATTCCTTCTTTTTTTTGACTAGGGTTGGGGAGTACCAGGGATTGAACTCAGGGGCAGTCAACCACTGAGCCACATCCCCAGCCCTATTTTATATTTTATTTAGAGACAGGGTCTCACTGAATTGCTTAACACTTCACTATTGCTAAGACTGAGTTTGAACTTGCGATCCTCCTGTCTCAGCCTCCCCAGCTGCTGGGATTACAGGTGTGCATCACCAGCCCCTTGCTGAGCATTTATTTGTCCCCAGGCTTCTGTTGTAAAATGCACATGCTTTTGACAGCCTCAAAATAAACCTCCCAGTCCTAAGTGTGGCTCTAGTGGAGCTTTCTGGGCCTTTGAGGAAGGGTGTGGGAGAAGGAGCCCAGGAAAGACAGCAAAGGATTGCCAGCCTCTGAGGGTGGCCCATCCCTGTGTGTTCCACCAGCTCTTTGATGGGGGAGGCAGCAGTGAGACAGAATGCTTCTGGGTTCCTGGTGTGTTCTAGACTAAATGAAAGATGGCACAGTGGAAGTAACCCTCAGGAGCTATATTGCTGAAGGTGGAGCAATGTTTCCCTGGCTGTGTCTGGTTTCATGGCCATGCCCTTGGGAGTATGGACTGTGTTTCACACTTCTTTCTTCAGTAGGGAAAAAGTATCTATCTACTTCAAAAAGCCAGCCCTGTGATTTGGAGCAGACCTTTTAACCTCTCTGGGCTTCGGTTTCCTTATCTGTACCTTCCAACTCAGATTTCTGTATCAGTGAAATGGAAAATAACTGTGCTCCTCTGCTTCCTCCTCTCCACCATAAAGGCCTTTCTCTGGGCTCATATTAGGTCCACTTCCTCCACAGAGTTATCAGAACACCTTGGTTCCCTCTTTGGGGGCTCTGGAACATTTCTAGAAAGTTCAAGGTGATGCGTATTCAAAGAGCACACTTGGAAGGGTGGGGAAACCTTTGTGGTTCAAATAGTCAGCCCTGGGCCAGGTACTCACTCTTTCATATCCCTCAGGTACCTTTACCTTAGTTTCCCCACCTGTAAATTGATGATGAAGGTAGAACCTACCTGTTAGGAGACCTAAATGGGATAGTGCACACATAGGGGCTCCATCAGCACCTGACACTTGGAGGAGCTCAGGAAATACTAGTTACTTTTCACTCACACAAGATGGAGATGCATTTGATTAGCCCTGCAGAGCCAGCTGTCAGACATACAGTCCATCTGTCAGTGGCAATTTGAATGGCATACTTTGTTTCAGAGAAAGTAAGCCATTGACTCATAAAACATAAAGAAAAAATCTTGAGTGTTTTAAGCCCCGAGATATGTCACTTTCTAACTTAAGTATAAGGTGAAATTTTAGTTAAATCAATATTTCATTGTGTCACCACTCCTCTCTTCATAGGGATTCCTTGCCACTGGTGAAATTGATCCCTTAAATAGAAGATTTTCTACTTCAGTCAAACCTGATGTTGTAGTACAAGGTTTGTGAGCGTGTTTACTATTCATCTCTAAGTTGTAAAACCAATGTCATTTTTTGCATTTAAATTGTTCCCTAGTTTCTTATTTAATTAAAAAACTGTGTGTGTGTGTGTGTGTGTGTGTGTGGTGTGTGTGTGCGTGTGTGCATGCTCTTTTAGTGTATAGCAGTTCTGTGAGATACTTTATGTAACTCAGTTACTCCCAAAAGGGACAGTATTCTTCCCAACTATAAATTTACTTTCTACAAAGCAATAGTTTTTCTTGAATCTAAACCTTGATTGCAATTGAAGCCCATAAGATTCATTTAGCATCATTTTTTAAAACTGTGAATCTGAAAAGTAGAGCCTAAGCCTGGTAAAATCTCAGAAGCCAAGCAAGGGTCCTCTCCGTGGAGTTCTGACTTCTCTCCACCTTCCAACCACCTCCACCTCCCCTCCCTTTTCTCTAGCCAGCTCCTCGTCCAGAAAGGTAGGAGGCCAGCCTGGGCTGCCACAGAGTGACTGCACCTGACTCCACTGCTGTGCATCTCCAGGCTGTTAGGACTCCCACCCCCTCCACAGATGTTCTTGAGAAGAACTGAGATTGCCATGGGGGAAGTTGGCAGTGCAGGGCTCCACCTGAGGTATGCCCCCAGAACAGCAATTCCTTCTCCTTCTTTCCTCTTCTAGAGGACCTTCTGGCAGCTCCATCACATGTTGCCTCACGAACACTCACATGCCATCTAATACCATAGCCCACTGTACGATTAGGACAAAGCCTGCATTCGCTTCTGTGTTGATTAGCACATACACATGCATACATTGAAAGCGGTGATTAAAGAAATGAAAAGCATTCCTCTTTGTGGCCACTGGCTCATTTCGCTGCACATGCCCATGATGCAATAAGATGAGCAGCAGGTTGTCATTCCAGTCAGTGCTGTGTGCAGGCCCAACGTGGGAAACATCTAACTGTTATAACATTCTGATCAGGTAAAATTTGTGACAATTATGGTTATCTCCATCTTACAGGCAAGACTTAGAAGTTAACCTACTCAGGGACCCATAGATGACAGCTGGGGTATGAATCTATTTCTGACTTCCAGATGGACTGGTCCAGCTGCACTCCATGGTCCCAGTGCTTAACCAGAGCACATTCTGCTAATTAGTGCCTTAAATCTACAAGATTGCTCTTCCAACTGCAGGCCAGGACACATTGATGGGTCCTGGCCCACATTTTTTTTAATGTAATAGAACAGAGTGAAAATTATTAAAGTATTTGGCATGGCGGAAGGAAAATATAGTTTTAGAAACTTATCCACATATGACTGCATTGGATCATGAGGCTCCCAGGTCTTAGTCCAAACCACTGCTCTAAAAGAGTCACTCTATAGAGTGGCCACTATGTGGCTTTGAATAAAATGTGGATTTCTGCAAGTTACTGAAAGCTTCAGAAGAGAAAGATGTCAAAGGAAGCCCTCCAGCCTCACTTGCTAGGACCTGAGGGATTAGGTTCCAGTCCTGAATCAGCTGCAACTGGCCAGGTAATCATGCAAGGCTTCTTTCAGTGGCATGTTATGAAGATCAGATGAGATAATGAGTGTTAAAATACTTTTAAAAGCACCAAGTGCTATGTAAATTTAAGGAGGTGCTAGTCAGCTCTCAGTGGCATTTATATGTATTGTATGTTCAGCCCCCTACCCCCAGCCCATGGGGATAGTGGTGGAACTTGGGGCCACATTAATAGTAGCTGAGCCTTCATTTTCTGGCCTTATCACTCTGTTCCAAGTTCCCAGAAAGCTCTGTGCAGCTGGACAAAGTACCAGCCATCTCTTTGTGTCTGTACTCCCCCTTCTGCAGTCCCCTATCCAGACTCCTTATCTTTGCCAAAGCACTGCCCTTTCTTATAAAAGGTCATCAATATTAGTACAGCATGTACAGCCCAGCTGATCCCTGGGCTGTACATGCTGTACTAATGTGGCCTCAAGTGAAGGTCTCCCACCCTCACAGCCCCCAGATCCCAGACACTCAGAGCCCCGGGCCTGCAGGAGTATGGGTCCCAGCCTCACCCATTGGAGATGAGGTCTAGGCTAGCTCTAAAGGGCTCTTCCCACCTGTAGGGTCCTATGCTATGGTTCCAGGTAGGCCAAGGTGCACTATTTCCACAGCATCCCCATTAGCAGGTCCATTTTTTTTCTTTGGAGGGAAGGAAGTCTCCCCCTCCCCCTCAGTGTCCCCTGAAAGTAGACATCACAATGTTCTTCTTTTCCCTGCTCTAAGGAGCAGGGTACAGGCTTCTCTTGGTATCCCCTGAGGGAGCTGTGTTCACTCCTGACCCAATGTAAAAGGGACAAAACAGGTTTACAATAAATGCAGATCCAGGGGAGGCAAATCATTATTTGAGATGGGGTAATTTGGCATAGGGCCTATTGAAGACAGTTTCTAGAAGTGCACATTAAGGCACTTAACAAATATGTATCATGGGTGTTGAGGGGTAGCAAGGACAGAGGACCAAGAAGAGTGGCAGGACCAATGCCACCATTTCCAAGACCAAATAACGTGTGGAGAGCATGCCAATGTGCCTCTCAGGCAGAAGAAAGGACAATAAATAGCATGTTAGAGTGCAGAGACATGAGGCACAATCTGATGCTGATTCTATGTTCTTGTTCACAGTCACTGTTTTGGCAGAAAACAGTCACATTAAGGAGCTGTTGAGGAAACATGGGGTAAACGTCCAGAGTGTTGCTGACATTCATCCAATTCGAGTCCAGCCAGGCCGGATTCTCAGTCACATATATGCCAAGCTTGGTAGGTTGGGGGCTCATTTGCCAAGGGAGTACCTCAGTTCTACGTTTGTGGTCTGAAGAGTTGGGCAAAACACTAAGCAGGTGATTGCACCGTGATGTAAAGGAGAATGCACAAACAAGTACCTGCTCCCCAGCCTGCTCAGTGGGTACTGCTGTAGGCTGGCTTGACCATTTGGCAGATCTAGTGTATAATAAGGAGCCACCTTGGAAAATTCACAACAGGAAGAGTCATTTGTGTCTTGACAATACTTCTAATTTTTATCTGTAGTATTAGAAAATGCTCATTTACCCATTAAAATGGAAGCAGGTTCTCTTTAGTTTTCTAGAACTTGACTTTGTTTAGTTTTATGGCTGAATACTAAATAAAAGTCAGCATTAATAAAGTTCTTTCAATAAGTTCATTTTGTCCACATTTGAACTGGTGCTGTTCATATACATGCATGAATAGAAGCGGGTAGAATTTGTGTATATATTCAACTTTGTCACATTTTTTAAAGGACAACAGTACAAGCTGGAGATGTAGCTCAGTGGTAGAGCACTTGCCTAGCTTGCATGAGGCCCTGGGTTCCATCTCCAGCACTGAAGGAAAAAAAAAGTGGGTTATCTAACATAAAAATAAGCCCAGCCTTACCCTGAATCACTAGATTACTTACTTGTTACTATATTTCCTCTAACTCTAGTGTTTCTTTTATTTTACAAATAGGACGAAATAAGAATATGAAGCTGAGTGGGCGACCATATCGGCACATTGGTGTTCTTGGAACTTCTAAACTCTATGTGATTAGGAACCAAATCTTTACTTTTACACCCCAGGTGAGAAGAGTAGGCCAGTGGCAAACCCACCAGCATCCTTTTATTAAGTCCTTTTTTCTGTCTGGTAAGCTTTTCTTCAACAGACATGGCAGAATTCTGCATGCATAAGTTCAGATGGAGACATATGAAGTGATACCTAGTACCTTGTACATGTGTTCATAAATGTTGATTGAATCAAATTGCATGTGTCATTACTCCCAGTCATCAATATTAGTGAAAGTCACACTGCTTTACAAATTTGCTAGTGACATGTCACTTGACTTGCAACCCTTGTGCTTCTAATCTTAATAGTCCTTAACCCTTGTCAGTTGGATTTCCAGACCCTAGCCCCCTTATTGGGCTACAGGATATACTGATTATGGAACTTATCTTCAGTGTTTTTGTTTCCAAAGAAAACTAGCCCTGTGGAAGCACTAAACCAAACTTTTTGAACAGCTATAAAGATGAATGATAGGGTTGCTTTGTCAGCATGGGGCACAGCATGGCCCCAGCTTACTTGGATACAGGATTGACTGTGGTGTCTTGGATCAGTAGCCCCAAGCTGCTATTTTTCATCTGAGCCCATGCTGATCAATTAAACCTTGTGAATTTTTTTCCCTTAGCACCAAATTTCAGTCCAGAGCTGAGCATGCACTAGTCCAGAGGTCAGGAGAACAATTTGATTTTCATCGACATCAGGCAGCAGTGCTTTGAGTTGGCATTAACCAGGCATCAATCAGGTGAACAGTGTCTCCACATCTCACCTCCTCTCAAGGCCTCACTTGGAAAGCATCTCCAAACTGAGTAGCCCTGGAAGGAGTAGGAATTAAGGAGTTATTGGTTTGCTTTCAGAGACATTGGTGTTGGGCAAAGCACTTAAGTCCTCCATTGGAGGAGCTGAAAACAAATCTAGCAGTGCACCCTTGCCTTCTGTGCTATTTTAACCACAGCTTCTGGGCTGATGACAAGATGATTTGTGTGATCTCAAGGGGAGTGGCCCCATGATGGGTGCATTAAGGACACCACTGAGCATCTTCCCTGGCAACAAAACTCCAGGATTAGTGCTGCCCTGAGAGACAGCTGGTGTTGTGTGGAGATAAACGAAGGGTGGCTATTTATTTGACCTGTTCTGACTTTCAGTTCACCGACCAGCATCACTTCTACCTGGCCCTGGACAACGAGATGATGGTGGAGATGCTGAGGATCGAGCTGGCCTACCTGTGCACCTGCTGGCGGATGACAGGCAGACCCACACTCACCTTCCCCGTCACACACACCATGCTCAGTAATTTCCTGAATTCCATCTGGCTGGGTCATGCCCCATGGGTGGTTGGGTCCTTTTCCAAGTGTTTAGAATAGATCCTATGGACAGAGCTGAGTATTGAAGGGACTCCTTAGCAGCTTGGCTTCTTATCTCAGGAGTCTTCTGTGCCATAAGGAATTTAATTAGATTGTGCTGATGAAAACATTTCAGTGTAAAGCTGGAAAAAAATGTATTCCCAGATTAAGTAAACTCATCATCACTTTTTTTTTTCCTTCAGCAAATGATGGCTCAGACATTCATTCTGCAGTTCTTTCTACAATTAGAAAACTAGAGGATGGATATTTTGGAGGAGCTAGGTAATTTCTTAAATCTTTTGCTGCCCTTCTCCCCTTTTTCATATCAATTTTCATTTCAATTGCTGAACCTAGAAACATGGTATTTAAAGTTTAAAAAAAAAACCAAGGATTTAAAATTTACCTCCTCCTGAAACAGCATTTGGTTGTCAAACTTTTGCAGGCACTAGGTAGCCTTGGGCATAGAGAGGTGGGCACATCAATCTCTCTAAAGTGATGTCCTTCCTAGAATACCTTTATGGAGTACTGTGTTTCTGTTAAAAATCATGGAAGAAAACACCAAGTGCCTAGGGCTCATCAAGTGCCATATAAATGTTTGACAGTAGTATACTGTCACCTTAAGAATAATTCATAGAAGCTGGGTGTGGTGGTGCATACCTATAATTCCTAGTAGCTCAGGAGGCTGAGGCAGGAGGATTACAAGTTTGAGGCCATCTTCAGCAACTTAGCCAGGCCCTAAGCAACTTAGTGACACCCTGTCTGCCAGGGCAAAACAAAATAATCGTTAGAAGTAGGCCCTTGACTTTCCAGGGCAAAATTTTTTGTTCAGGCAAGGGTAGACTTTTTTTTCCCTGAGGCTATCTGCAGCCCATTTGCCCTTGGAAGCCCAAGCACCTGTGAATTCAGTTATGTTGCATGTTCCAACTTACTCCTTGAACAGTACTATTGAAGCTAAGTCCTAATCTGATGCTGGTAGCTCAGAGGGAAGTATCTTGTTTTCATTTCTGGTCTGACATTTTAAGAATGTTTTTGTAGGGTGGAAATCCCATGCACTCCCAGCATCTAGGGACTGACCTTCAGAACTTGGGGGCTGCTGCCTCTGTGGGGATCCCAGGCTGCCAATCCTGGCTCCCAGTCTCCAGTGGAACTTTTTTCAGCCCAATGGGCCACTCAGGACATCTGCTCCAGTTTGGGGATAGTGGGTTCATCAGATTCCTTCTAGAGAGAACTTTGACTCTAAGACATGCTTCTTCCATCAATGGTAGCTCAGAGGGAAGTACCCCTCCTATGCCTGTGTAACCACATTTCATGGTAAGGACAAGTGCACCAGGAGAATGATTACTTCTGGCCCAGTCATTTTAGGGGGGGGAAAACACCACATGTTGATTCTGGTTCAAAGTGTTTGCTCAATTTATTTTGTAAAATAAGTTTTGGTTGATATTTGTGTTGGGTTGGAATAAGAAATCGGCATGATTATTTTGACTTTTAATATGTTACATGCTTTCACTTCATACTTGCTATTGAATTTTTGTTGTAATTTCTTGGCTGACTACTTAGGGTGATCTGCTGAGTGATAAATTTATTGATTCTGGCAGAAGCACCACCTGGTTATTGAAAAGTCCCCCAGTGATTCATAGTGGAAGTTTGTCCACACTCCATTGATGTCCCTTAACATAGTGTCTTTTTGGCAGAGTAAAATTAGGGAACCTGTCGGAATTCCTCACCACATCATTCTACACGTATCTGACTTTCCTGGATCCAGACTGCGATGAGAAGTTGTTTGATGATGCCAGTGAAGGGAGCTTCAGCCCTGATAGTGACTCAGATCTGGGAGGATATGGGGAAGACACCTGCAATCAAGGTATCATGTGGAATGCTTTTGCGGGTGCTTCCTTGAATTTATTTAGACCTTCGTACTCTGATAAAATTGCCCTAAAACCCTAAACTACAAAAAATTAAAATATAAATCTAAACTAAAAATGATGCCTTTGAAAGTGGGGCTTTTTTAAACCCAGAGGGACGAAGAGTTTCAAGTATGAGGACTTTTCATTGTGTGTGTGTGTGTGTGTGTGTGTGTGTGTGTTTGGATATAGCTCACTTGCCTACTGAAGCTTAGGCACCTTGAGTTCATTTGCACTGTTTGCTTCAACTTACTCCTTGAACTGTTTTTGACAGCTTTTTAAACTAAGATCTAACCCTGGATGACCAAGGGCCAGTTAGGCCAGCGCTCTATCACTGAGCTGCACCCTCAGTCCTCACAAAATATATTCTGAAGACAGAAACACATTGCTTGAATTGTCAAAGGAATGGTAGAACCATCTGGGTTCATTTAGATATGAGGAAGGAAACCTCATGTATATAACCTTTCTCAATCTGAACAAATAGTTGGGTCAAAGTGACCTGGCTTTTGCTTTTTGATAGTAGTTGGAATTGGAGCAGAGAATTCCACAAGGTTTATTAGCTCTTAACAAATTAAAACAAAATGACTGATGTCAGCTGCTGTCCTTCAGGTACTATGCAGCTCATCTTAGGATGATGTCATGTAAACAATTATCTTGACCTGTGTTTTGTTTCCCCAGGAAGAAGTTTTTCTAAACAATAAATTTATACACACATACATTCTATCTTTTTACCTCATGGGGTGGGTAAAGGTGTCAATATCTATATCTAAATGTCTCCTTTCACTAACTTACTTGGCACTGCCCACTACACATAGTCACTATTAGGCATTTGGGATATTTCTGTAGCTTGTATTCATTGGCTCTTTTTCTTGCTTGTCCAGTTATAGAAAGCCAAGATGAACTCGACCAGTATATGAACCACCTTCTGCAAAGCACATCCTTGAGGTGCTACCTACCCCCTCTCTGTAAAAAGACAGAAGACCTCCATGTGTTCAGTGCCATCCACTCCACTCGGGACATACTTTCTGTGATGGCCAAAGCAAAGGGTTTGGAAATTCCATGTATGTTATTGAACTCTTTTTTTTTATGGTGTAAAACATTATTTTTATTTTTTTTATTTTATTTTTTATTGGTTGTTCAAAACATTACAAAGCTCATGACATATCATCTTTCATACATTTGACTCAAGTGGGTTATGAACTCCCATTTTTACCCCAAATATTGAACTCTTTTCTACCTATTAAAATACCTTCTTTTATCAAAGTAATGTATGAACATAATTTAAAAGAATCCTAAAAGACAACAAAATGCTTCCCTCATCGTCTACTTGGAAACGACCATTTTTAACTTTTTAACCATTTTTAGCTGTTTCTTCTGGCATTTATATATCTCCATATCTCTAAAATAATATGTATACATATGTATACATATCAAAGCTTGGCACCTATTGACTTTCTGTTACATGGGTAAGGATTTAGCTGGCTTAACTCACCACTCTTGTACTCCCTTCCCTTAACCTACCAAGGGAGCTGTATGAAAGTTTAGTTACATCAGTATTTACTCTTATATGTATGTAAATATTATTCCCAACTGGTCATTATAGTATATTGTGATTATATTACCATTTTTTACTTTTGGTTTTTTTTTAAGTTAATAATTGTTTTTTTATTTGTTTTGATTTCTTTCTCTATCTTCAGTGGCCTCACAATACCAATTTCCACAAGGTAATCATATCAGTGAATCTCTTGATTCCACTACTTACAGTCTGTGAGTCTCCTCCTTTCTGGCCAAGAGCACTCTAAGCCTGTTGTATCCTTATCATCCTGGAAATTTCCTTGGGCTCATACCATTAGTTGTACTCCTTGTTTCCTGAATCTGGTGTATTCCCTGTGTGTTCCCCTTTCCTGATTTGTTGTTGTTGGTGGTGGCTTTTTTGTTGTTGTTGTTGTTGTTGTTATTGTTATTTTGGTGGAACACATTCTGGAATAGTTTCACTAGATTGAAAAAAATTAGTACAATGAAAGAGGGCATGGTAATGACAGCCCTCAACTTGTTTATTTCTGAAATTCCTTTCTGACTTGGTTGCCCACCATGTCTGGGATGTCATTTTTATTCCGGGATCTTCCTTCACCATCATCCTGGAGGGTTCCTTGACTTGTCTCCTGGGTTGGCTAGTGTTTTCTGTTTCTCAACTCTTCCCTTTTTTTAGTTCACTCTCTCATTCTAGTGAGGACAACCAGTCATTTCCTGAGAAATAGCACATGGTGGGTTACATTGTTGAGAACTTGCAGGTCTGAAAATATCTAAAAAATTCTATATCCATTTGAGAGTTTGGCTGGGTAGAAATCTAGATTGAAAATACATTTTTCTTCAGAATTTTTAAAGCATCACTTCATTATCTTTGCTACCAGTGTTGCTATTGAGAAAACTAAACCCATTCTGATTTTTGATCCTTCCAGTATAAACTGGTTTTTTCTTTTTCTTTTTTTTTCTTTTCTTTTTTTTTTTTTTTTTTTTAGTCATTGATAGACCTTTATTTATTTATACATGATGCTAAGAATCAAATCCTGTGCCTCACACATGCCAGGCAAGTGCTCTACTGCTGAGCCCCAGCCCCAGCCCTAAACTGGTTTTTTCTTTAAAGTTTTTAGGATCTTTCCTGCTTCCCAGTTCTGAAATTTTAGTGATGTGTTGTGATCAGCATATTTTCATCCATTGTGTTGGGTCAAACTTAGCAGGCCTTTCCAGTCTGGAAAGTTATAGTTTTCAATCATGTAGTTTTTCTGAAAACTTTCTTGAATCATTTCCTTTCTTATATTTTCCTTGTTCTCACTTTCTAGTATTTCTTTGATTCTAGTATTGACTTCCTAGAGAAGTCTTTATCATTGCTCTTCTTTTTTCCATATTTCTGTCTGTTCTGAGTGTAATTGCTTTTGTGTTTTAAATCTTAGTTCCCAAATTTCATCTGTTCTTGTTTCATGCAAGCCATATAATTTCTTATTATTCTAAGAACATTAATGGGGGGGCATGTTTTGTTTTTGTTTGGGCTTACATTTTGTTCTCCCTGAATGGTTTCCTTTTCCCCCAGTCACCTTTTCCTCTTTGTTTAAGTCTCTGTCTTTACACATTAGAATCCTTCCTCCAAGAATGTGGGTAGGACTTGTGCCTCAGGGCTCCATGGCTGTAGACTTGTCAGATTTCCCAGAGATGTTCTACAGCACCTACTTGAAAGGTAGGGTCTTTTTGCCTGATCTCTACAGCTACTTAGTCTCTATAAGGAATGCACTCAGGCCTTTATATGTACTGGTCAGCCCCGAACCTAGTCACCCTCCCTCTTTTACTCCATTCAGAGAAACCCTCTAGTCTCCTGTCAGAGTGAGCAAGGCGGTCCCCACACTGTGTGAGTTGAGGAGGGCATCTAGGGAGCTCACTGCTTCCCACATAGCTTTTCTCCAGTCTTCCTTATTTTGATCACCCCCTTTGAATCCCCAGTTTCAGAGGCACACAGTGCAGCAAGTTCCTAAGACTTCTGGAGATTCTTTGATGTAAATCTCACTGGTTCTTGTATTTCCCTTCTGTAGACTTGGGCTTTGGTTGCTTTGTATCTACTAAATCGGTTATCTTTCATCCATTGGTTTTTCCACTTCCAAAATCTTGTCACTACTACCTTTCTCTTTTTTCCCCCCTATTCTTGAGGATTGATCTTTTAAAAAAGAAATTATTTTCCACATTCTGAGTGGAGATTTGGGACAAAGTAAAATTCCAATATTTGATTTGACTCACTAGTGTAACCTGGGCACTTATAATACCTTTTTTTTTTTTTTTGGTAGCAGGGACTGAACCCAGGAGTACTTAACCACCAAGCCACATCCCAGCCCTTTTTATTTTTTATTTTGAGACAGGGTCATGCTGAGTTGCTAAGGGCCTCAGTAAGTTGCTGAGGCTGGCCTTGGACTTGTGGATCCTCCTGCCTCAGCCTCCTGAATTGCTGGGATTATAGGCATGCGCCACCATGCCCAGCTATAAATGACTTTTAAATATGCATCAGTTTTTATCTTGGAAACTTCCTAGTCTCCTGAGACAATACAATAGCCTAGAAGACAGAGATGGATTAATGAATGAATACAGATAATAATATTCAAAGATGGTTAAAACATAAGACCTAACACCCAGCAGTGGTAGAATGAAATGCATACCGAACAGGAAGCAGAGACACCTGGATTATGGAACCCTTGTAACCTTGGAAAAATAAATAGTCTACCCTCTCTGGGTCTCAGTTTTCTCATGGGGTGGGGAGAGGTCTGACTCAATCTCTCTAAGTCTCGTTCCAGTCCTAAGATGTTGAGTAATTTCCCCTGAGTTCTAGGAGGGAAAAGTGAAATTCTCTCAAAGCAAAAAGTCATTTCCTGCTTATTTCTCATTCCCAAATTTAGCACATGAAGTGGCTACATGATAAATTCTCATTGAAATTGGCTAAACTAAGTAGTCATTCCTCAGTTGGATTGTATTTAATGAGGAGTAGCCACCACACCTCTCAAAAGAGTACTTCGTTGTTCCTCTTCAGAAGCACTCTCTGTTATTTTGTTTTCCAGTCGTTCCCATGACTTTGCCAACTAAAGTTCTAAGTGTGCACCGTAAGTCATTGAATCTTGTTGATTCTCCTCAGCCACTCCTAAAAAAGGTAAAGTATTTGGAATAGTTAAAAATTAAAAGGCATAATGCTTTATAATGCTGGGTTAGTCCCAACAACTTTCTTAAATGTTGGAACTCAAAAGAAAGACTGTATTTCTTGATATCCAGAACTTTTCCATTTAGAAGCTCCAAGTTTTGATGTGAATCCAATCCCTTAGCTGTCTGGAATATGATGGGCATCATCACATATACCAAATTTGATGCAAACCTTTATATTTTGCCTATAGGAAAGGTCACTACCTTTTTGCTGACCCATAAAACCCAGGTGGTGCTGGCAGAAGTGAACTATCTGTCCCCTTGGCCTGTCCTGTCAGCCAGCCAAGGCAGATGACGTGCAGAACAAGCTACAGTGCTCTGTTACTCATGTTCTTAATGTAGTGAAAACCAGGAAGAGAGTTCTTAGGAGCATAAAAATCTCAGGCTGTTCCTTGTTGCTTCCCATAATTTGTTATTTTATTATGAAGTCTCCCCTTGATTATATCTCACATGAATCAAAATATCCAGTGCCTGTTGGAGAAATTTTAACCTAAGTTCAGTTTTACATTATTTAAAACATGCATTTTGTGTTTATTTTGCTTTTAAAAAACCATTTTATCAAAGTATAATATATGGACAGAAAGGTACATACAGCTTAAGTATAGACTAAAATGAATTGTCACTGAGCCAATATACAAATGGCCACCTCTGGTTCCCTCTCAGTCATTTCCTCCCCCTATAGTCCAAACATAATTTCCATTATAATTCCTAACAGCAGAGATTAGTTTTCCCTGTTTTTGAACTTGGCATAAATAAAAATTACACATATTTTAACCTGTTCCTATTTCTTGCAAACATTTGTCAACATGGTGATCCACTGATCAAAAATAGTAAAAGCCTATAAATAAAAAGGTGTAAAATATTCACTAAAAAATAGGTCCAGCACAGTGCCAGAGTTCAAAGACCAAGTTGGTGTTTTACTTCTTGATCATCTGAAAGTTCCTACACTCAACCCCTCTCCTACTTTTTTACTTTTATACGGCCAGGCTCCTGAAAATGACTTCCAGTGGCCCAGAGATGACCATGGTGATGTGGACTGTGAGAAGCTAGTTGAACAGCTGAAAGATTGTTCAAATCTGCAGGACCAAGCAGACATCCTGTACATCCTTTATGTAATAAAGTAAGTTGTCTTAGTCTGTTTGGGCTGCTATAATACAATACAAATTGGCATTATAAACAACAGAAATGCATTTCTCATAGTTCTGGAGACTGGAAATCCAAGACCAAGGTACCAGTAGATTCAATGTCTGGTGAGAGCCAGCTTTCTTGTGGATGGCACCTTTTACCTGTGTCCTCAATGGTAGAAGGGATGTGTTAGCTCTCTGGGCCTCTTCTATAAGGACACTAATCTCAATCATGAGGGCTCTGTTCTCATGATCTAATCACCTCTCAAAGGCTCCACCCCAAAATATCATCATCCTGAGGGGTTTAGCATTTTATCAGAAATTTAGGGGGCATACAGACATTCAGGCCACAGCAGTAGATTTATGGTTTCACTAGGTTGAGCCTTCTCAGTTCTCCTTAATTAATTCATTTTCCTAGTCTCTCAGCCTGCAGCAACCCGGGTCATGATCATATTCACTCCAGTTACCCAAGATCACCATGAATAAGTCTTCCATCCCCTTCTTTGCCTACTGATGCTTACCTCCCAGAACAAGAAGGCTGAATGAGGCCAGGATCCTACAATGTCCTTATATTAATCTTCTGTTTCAAAGGACATAGGGATGCTTTGGTAGTATGGAGCCCTCTCAATGAGGCTGAGGCACTAGGAGTACCAGAGCCCTTGACATTCATTCCTCTTGCAGTCTAAACATTCTGGCCCAATATCTCTGCATTTTTCTATCTCTTGACAGGGGTCCCAACTGGGACACCAATCTCTCAGGACAGCATGGGGTCACTGTTCACAATCTTCTCAGTGAGCTCTATGGGAAAGCCGGCCTGAACCAAGAGTGGGGTTTGATTCGCTACATCTCAGGCCTGCTCAGGAAGAAGGTGGAGGTCCTTGCTGAGGTCAGAGCAATCATGCCTGCTGGGTTGTCCTTCATCCCCTCTTGCCCTTTGTCTTCTTCCTCTTCCTCTTCCAATCTTGGAGTTACAGAAACTCTCGAGGCAAGTGCCTCTTAACTGTAAAGGAAAATGGAGACCTAATCCAGAACTGGGGCAAGCCTTTCTCTCCTGACCTCCCACTGCTCTGGGAAAGCAAGCAGAGGGAAGAAATTCCAAGTTGATTAGTTTGGTTCATTCTTAACCACAGAAAAAGGCTTGCCAGGAAATCAAATGAAGATACTCTGTGGCAACACAACCTCAGAAACATAGCTCTCTTATTTGTGCACATCCACAGTACAGTGATCATTAACATTTATTACCCTGAGCCCCTGCCAAATCCAGAACCACTTCCTACAACACTGAAGCTCAGTATTCGGGCAAGGTGGTGGTATTTATTATATGTGAGAAATGGAGAAACTGGTAATTTGGGAATACAATGTGGCCATTCTCTCTTACCATCACTACTTAAGGACTCATCCTGCCTTGTCAAGTATCAGGGAGCCTAAGGGATCTGCTATAGTAGATGGGCATTAAATACCTATTGATGGGCCTTGCAGAGCCAGGCCTGGGGCCATACCTGGGAGATGCAGAGACCTAGCCCTGCCTAGGTTGCTTAGTCTGGGATCTGTGTATGAATTTTTCAAACAAAGGGCAATGTGGATCATAATGATTGTGAAGGTAAGTTTATGACTTTACTGGCAATGACCCAGTTGGCTTTGCCTAATCTCTCTCCCACCCCAACCCCTTTCCCTTTTTCCTCTCTCACCCTTTCTCCCAAATACATGTTTAGGCCTGTGCAGACCTGCTGTCCCACCAGAAGCAGCTCACTGTGGGGTTACCGCCTGAACCACGGGAGAAGACTATCTCGGCGTAAGTCCACAGCCCAGAGACCTCAGGTTTGTGGGAGAACAATGGGAAAACAGCAGGGCTTTGTACTATTCAGGAGTCCCTCTGTCACATGGGCACTTGCACAGAAAACAGGTATCTTTCATGAAGGGCAAGGAGGCCCTAATCCCAGGCACCTCATTATATTTGTGGCCTGCTCCTTCCTAGGCCTCTTCCTCCAGAGGAGCTCACAAAACTCATCTACGAGGCCAGCGGGCAGGACATCAGCATCGCGGTCCTCACACAGGTCCGGGGCTGGCACGGGAGGGGTGACAGCCTTCCTCAGAGTGCCAGGGGGCCCCTTGGTCACCCACTGGGTCTCTGAAACCCTGCCCCCATGTGTGTCTTTGCCAGGAGATTGTGGTTTACCTCGCTATGTACGTCAGGGCCCAGCCTAGCCTCTTTGTGGAGATGCTTCGACTCCGGATTGGGCTGATCATTCAGGTGATGGCCACAGAGCTGGCAAGGAGCCTGAACTGCTCAGGTGAGAGGCAGTGGCTTCTGAAGCTCCTATCTGCCCAGCTCCCCCCGGCACCTGGCCTTGAGGCCTTGCTCTGAGGGGACCCCTGCTCAAATATTCCTGTTGGCTTCCAATGCCATCAGCCTGTCAGACCACATAGGCGCAGGGTACTGGAGTTCCTAAAATAGGACAAGGAGGCACTAGTGATATTTACCATTTCTGTACCTAATAGCTAAGCTCCTTCCTGCTATTCTTGCTATGAGATGTCATCCTCCATTTAGTAACAACTTCACTGGGAAGAATCCTTCCAATTGAAAATAAATAGCAATCACAAGACACATCCCAGCATCAGGGATCAGGGAAATGTGAGAAAAAATATGTGTCTAGGAATTAAGCAAATATGGTACCAATTTAAATAACAGCATTTAGAATCCCCAGGGACCAGTGCCTTTCAGCCCTGCAGTGCCAGTGAGGTGATCCTGACCAGGAGACCTGCCACTACATCCTTTGTCACTCCCTCCCACCCAGGTCCACTACGTCTGTACTATGACTGTGCCTTCACCTGCCACCAGTCCTGGGTCTGGGAAACTTACAAGATGTTTGTTTGTAGGAGAAGAAGCTTCTGAGAGTTTGATGAACCTCAGCCCTTTTGATATGAAAAATCTCCTACACCATATTCTAAGCGGAAAAGAGTTTGGTGTGGAAAGAAGTGGTAAGTAATTGCTCTGGGTATCTCTACAGGGAGCTGCTTCCTTGCCATGCAAGTCAACCCCTATACTTGAGACTCGGACATGTGATTGTACTGTTCCTGTTTAATGGGATGGACAGAGGCCTAGGCTCAAGGTTCCTGCTTTTAAGGCTTCAGGACACCCTCGCAGGTTTGCTGGGACAGCATTTCTTCCACAGGTTTCAGTGGCACATGCACACAGTGTCATGCCTCTGCATCCTATGTCTCCTGTGGCCATAAGCACCAGCTGTCATCACTTGTGGGGGTTAGGGAATGACCCCACGTGTCGGGCTGAAAGAGTTGTTCTTTCAAATTGCCTGAAGTGGCCTTTGGTTTGAGTAGAAGTGTTCTCAGCTAGGTCCCGTCATCCTCCATGGGGCAGGAAGAAGACCCTCTTTAACCTCTAAAGGCCAGTTCATTTCCTTCAGTCAAGTCTTGCTCAGTTTATCTGTCCCGGAACCTTGCTTGCAGTGCTAAGAAATATAATCACCCAAGTCCTTGTTCTCAAATGCTCTCTAACTATAATTGAAGCAATTATCATTTCTCCTCCTCATAAAAAAGCTAAATGATTTGCAGTCACATTGGTGAATTTATTTCATCAAGCCAAAGAAATACACTGTGGGCTGTGGACATTGGGTACTTTGTATTTTTCCTGAGTGTGTTTCAGCCACAGACCAAGGGAATCATATGCATATTGGTGGCGTTTCTCCTTTCTAAGGGAGGAGCTCTCAAGACCCTTGTCCAAAATTAATTTCCAGTTCTTTCTAATGCACAATCCTTGAAATGTAAATGTACAAGATAAATATTGTGTTCTCATCATATAGTGTATATGGTTTGACACAGATAATTGTCATTAGAGTAAAGCTATAGATGCTTATAACACTACCAACTGAGTGATATCATTTAAAAGCCCAAATATGGTTAATTGCAAGTAAGGACAGAAGACGAGCTATCTTTTTAAAACATAATATCATTTCTTAATTTGTAATTATTCAATTTTTATAAACTAGGAAGCTTATATTGGCTTAGAATTCTTAAAATTCTGATTAAATCCTGAGATATCTGAGAAAACTGTTTCCAGTGAACACCCCCATACAGGCCCTTCTGGAGCTTTCCAGACTTCTTTTGGCTTCCATTTTCCACTGGCCTGGTGCCCCTCTTCCCCCTCAGGCTAATCATTGTGTCTCCTTGGTGTTTTCCTCCCTCTCCACTGCCCTCCATTTCCCCTAGCTTCTGTGGGGTTGGGTGGGGAGTGACCTTCCAGCCAGGCCTGCAAAGGGGAGTAGTGGGGTGGGAAGGAGAAACATGTACAAATGCCCAGAACAGCATATCTGGCTCAGGAGTGAGGGGCTAGGAAGGCATAGTCCAGAGGCCAGGCCCATGGAGGGGGAGGGCCAGGGATAGGTGTGAGTCTTGCAGCTGGTGCAATAGATTGGAAGGGAGGGGCTAGGGTGGCAGAAGAGTCTCCCTGCCCCCTGGGCCCTTAGCAGCACCATGTGCCTGGCTCTCCCACGTTTCCTTCCCAGCCCAAGGTCTTCCAGTAGGCTCAGTACCCCTGTGGCTGGGGTGGGCTCTCCTCCCTGTACCCCTGCAGTGCTAAATTCTGCCCCAGATCCCTGTTGTCCCTGGGCAACATGCATTGGCACCTGCATCCAGTGTCTAGACAGGGACTGGCATGCTCTCCATCACTGGGCCCACAGCTACAAGTGTCCAAGTAACAAGCCCCTCAGTGAGAACCCTGTAGTTTTGTCATTTTCCCCAGGCTCTGCTGGCATTCTGAGGGTCATGGGGCTGGGGATAAAGCCTGGCAAGATCAGTGTGGGTCCTCTATGTGAGTAATGATGAATCCCTTACAACAATCAAATGTCATGCAATCATTATATGTGAGGTGATAGAATATGGAATGGCATGGGAAGACATTCATGATAACATATTAAGTGCATATTAAGTACAGAAAGGTCAAGGACTATACATATATACATATCAGATATAAATATATATGATGTATATTTCATATGTTTATACATATGTGATGATTCTGTTTTATATGATAAAAACATTTACCACAGGAAAAACACAACCATAGGGGAAAAAAAAAAACCGTCAGGATAACAACTAAAATGTCAAAAGACATTAGTTCTGGCTTGCTTAGTTGGGTGGTTTCAGTTTTCCACAAGGAAGGTGACCTTTTGAAAAAGTAAAAAATTATTTTAAAAAGCATATTCAGTTTCTAAAGGGCTTTCTGCCACTCTGTTTTGTGTGTACTGATTAAGGAGCTTTTGCACTTTCATACAGCCCTGCAAGACCCTCGTGGTGAGTCTGTGCCACCCTGGGCACTGAGAGCCCAGCACTAGCCAGGACAGGCAGAGTTTATAGTCAAGTGAGAGGGACGAGCGCAAACCCAAAGAAGCACATCATTCACATTTCTTCCCTCAGGGTGGGTGCTGTATAGTCCCAAAGAACCACATGTGTGTGTGTCTTCCCTCTAGTACGCCCTATTCACTCCACCACATCCAGCCCTGCCATCTCCATCCACGAGGTGGGACATACTGGAGTCACCAAAACTGAGAGGAGTGGCATTACCAGACTGAGGAGTGAGATGAAACAGGTAAGAACACCCTGGCAGTGGCAGCAGCAGGAATGGGAAGAGAAGTGGTTCTCCTGCCTAGGCTCACCTCAGAAGGTCATAGAAACCCAGGGCATGAAGCTTCAGCCTGCTTTTTGTAGAGGACGTGAGATCCCTTCTGCCTTGGGATCTAAATAAAGCTCTGTACCCAGATAGGTACCCCTAGCTGCCCCTGTGCAACCTGTACCTGCCTGTTCCTTCACCTCAATGTGATGTTTTGTATATGTTCTAGAACATGCTTTTGTCCATGTTTGGTTTTGTGCCATTTAAAAAGTAGAGTCATACAGAAAGAAACAATCATTTCTCCATCAAATGTGTCCTTCTATTGAAATAGAAGGATCTGGAAATAGAATTGAATGACCATGATACCTATGTTACCCAGGTATCTCTTTTCTTTGTCCCCTTTTATTTAATTCACAATAAAAATCCTTTTGAACTTATCCTCACAGGACTGTGATTCAACATCTTTTTAGTCCTGATATGCACTATGCTAGAACTTGACCATGACCCATGGTAGGAAATAGACTTTCCTTTTGACAGAGACCTACAATGAGAAATGTACTTGGATTTCCTCCTATATTTCAAACATTAGTCATGTTCCACTAGCTTGAGTCTGTGAGGCACTAATGATCACCCCCTGAGGTTGACCATCACTGCCCTGGATTATCAGAGGGTGATAGAAGTATTAGGGTGTTCTTGATTTAGTTTTTGTTTATTTTCTGATGTTTTAACTTTCAGATGACAAGGCGATTTAGTGCTGATGAACAGGTGAAATATTTTTGCCTTGTTTTGTCTTTTACTGTGTGTCTTTCATGTCCTTTCTGGTTTGAATGTGGAAAGTGAAGCTGTAAATACAGAGTGTGACTAGGTGAAGGAGCAATTCTGCCCATCAAAGTGGCGTAGTCAGACAACAACCCCCAGGGACAGAAAATGAGCGGGACTTGAAGGCAGGAGAAGTGACCTTGCCCTGGGCTTCAAAAAAACCCATTTGTCAAATTCCTGGGCTTTATAGGATACTTGTATGGTCTGGGCTCTGCCTCAAAGTTCCTGTTCAAAAAGAAGAAACTAAATAGGGGTATCTATGCAGGAGCTAAATTGGGTATACTTACCAATAGAAAGGCTAGGGCTATTCCTGTCTGCAGATGACCTGGGGGAATTTAACCCTGGAAGGAAAAAAAAATGTAAGGATACTGTTCTTCAATGCCACCCTGTGACATCCTACTTCCTCCAGAAAATTGGAGTCACTTTTTTTTTAAGAGATGTGTCTCACTGTGTTGCCCAGGCTGACCCCAGACTGGGCTCAAGCAGTCCCCCTGCCTCATCCTCCTAACCAGTTGGGACTACAGGTGCACACCACCACACCTGGCTTCCAGAGTCACATTTCTAATGATTTGATGTCCCTATGGACCAGGAGAGTATAGAGGAATCACGTGTTGACATGTGAATGCAGATTGCACATGTTGTCCAGGGGTAAAACATACTTATCTCTCATTCTAATTTATGCTTCTTCCAAGTAAGGAACCAACTTTCTAAACACCTTCCTTTGTCAGCCACTCGGTGGCACCGTTCCTCTGGTTACCCATACTCTGCTGGCCTAAGCATGGGTGAATATGGATGGTTCCTGTCACCTTCATGTAATTCTGTCCTTGCATGTTACAGAGATAGAATGATCACCTTTCTTCTTTGATGTGTTTATATTCAACTAGCTAGTACAAGTTTTATATTTGGCTATATTTATATTTCCTTACATTAAGGAAACATTCTCTGTTCAAAATTTAATCAGTGCCATGACAGTTTAAATTTCTATTCACTTTTGCAAGAACACCAGGTACACAGACCATACCCTTGTAATCTAAGAGTAGCGTCTAGACTTTTAGGTGAGGAAATACTTGTATGGCCAAAGGTCATCACCCTGATCACATGTGTGCATTTAACAAATACCTATGGGATGCCTGTTAGATGCCAGTTGTTAGTGGTGGTTATGGGCATTTTGTTGATCTCTAGATTTTCATGACTCAACATAAAACATCAGCATTTCATGACTGAGTTTGGAAAACATTCCACCTCGATTAGGCACCTTGCACAAGCAAACAGAATCTGGTATGTTTGCTTTTTTAAAGAAAGACCTGGGGCTGGGGCCCAGTATTGGGCCAAGGTGCTGAGGCTAGATCACCTGCACTTCTGAGTGAGAACCTCTTGAGCCAGCCCTCTCCATACCTTTCTTCCTGGCCACTTTTCATGCCTGTGTGCTTGTGCTACTGGCATCACTTGGTGTCTTCACACATGACTGAGTCGACTCTTTTTGTTTTTGTAGTTCTTTTCTGTGGGCCAGGCCGCATCCAGCAGTGTGCATTCCTCCAAGTCTGCGGTAAACATGTGTTGCCTCCTCTTCTGTGTTCATACTGTCTGAATCTTCTAGTGGACTCTCTCTGCTCCTACCTCATCCCTGAATTGTTTTGATTTGTATGAGTGTGCGGTGCTGGGTATAGAACCCAGGGCCTCATGTATTGCCAGGCAAGCTCTCCAGCACTGAGCTTCTTCCCAGCCCTTACCCCTGACTTCTGAAGATTTGAGCTGGGTTTACAGTCTCCTCCTAATTTTGAGGAATTTCTAGAAAGGCTGAGAAGTTGTTCAACTAAACTTTGTTTTCCCTCTTGAGCTATCAGTTCTCTCTGCTTAAGCTCCTCAGCATGGTGTGGTTGAGGAGAGCTCTCCTCACCAGTTTGCAGGAGTTTCTGGAATCTTCAGGGCATTGGTTCCATATTTTTTAATTGAGTATTGAGCTGAGGCAGGGAAGCACATGCTGACCAGCACTTTACAGCCACATGGCCTGGCTCCGTGTAGGGTTCCAGCTCAAGTGAGGGCCTAAGAAATGTTCTAATCACAAAGACAAATCTGAATCTTAACCTACCAAAACTAAGAGAAAATCAGCTGAGTCATTGATGAGCTTGGCTGTAATTACTTTTATTTGTAGCTAATTGTTGCCTTATTTAAATGGCAGTAATGAGCCCAATGGAATAACCCAGCCTGTCTTTTTCAAAATAAGATCTGCTGAAGTCAAGATTAGTACAGAGAGAAGCCCGCTTCCTGTCCTGCTAGTGTGCTTAATATTGGGATTTTATTTTAAGCCTTTGAATTCAACGTTGTGCATTGAAAAATCAAAGTGCCAAATAATCCATGACAAAGGCATGTATAAGGATGCAGGTTACCCTTACCCTGACCTGGAGGCTGAAGGGCTAGAACCCACCCTGGGCAAGACAGCAGGCCAAGTTTTGCTCCAGCAAGGAGACACGGATGACTTCAGGCAAGCCCCTCTTCCAGCTCTGGCCACCAGGCCCCATTGGGAGCTGCTATTTGGTCATGGGCAGCCCTGCAACAGTGCTGCCCTCACAGAGCCCAGAAGGAATCCAGTCTTTGGAGGAAGTGAGAAGGAAATGACACCCTCCTACCTTGTGTCACCAGGGCCAGTCCCAACTCAGAGCCACTGTGACCCTGCCAAGGCCAAGAACAGGAATGGTAGCAGGCAGAATTGAAAAGCATGGGTAGAGATACTAAAATCTGAGGTCCCTGCCACTAACTGGGGATTCCTAGCCTTGACTTTTTGTCTTTGTCTCTGGGTCCTTCCCTCCTGTAGGAGGTATGGTATTCTCTGTGGTACTTGCCCTATAGTGATGCTGCTCAACTGGGTACTTTGGCATTTGTTCCCTGGACTGCAGACCGGAGAAGCTCACCTGCTTTGAGAGCCAGCATCTCTCCTGAGGTGTCCTCAGGGGAGCAGCCCTCAGGTGGATAGCTGCTCCTCAGCACTCAGCACAAGCCAGTCGTGCTCTCAGGGTTTTTCCATGTCTTCACTCAACAAATGCCCACAGGCAGCTCCCTGTTGTACAGATGCAACCAGGGTGGCAGTCGATACTAGTGTAGGGCCAGGGAAGCCTCACCTGAGCCTGTGCTGCAGCTAGCTGTTACTGAGTTGGGGTTGGCACCGCAGTGGCCTGATCCCAGAACTCACACCATCCCTGCTTAGCCAATGCCCTATGAGTTTGGGTCCTCTGGGTGTTCTACTACCTCTTGGAGGCTGGGAGGAATCAAGTAACCAACCTGGAGAGCAAAAGAATAATCCAACATCAAAGAGCAAAATGGACAAGGAACCCTGTTCCTCCCTGGGTGAGTGGCATATAGTGATTTTGATTAGTTCACTAAGCCAGCCTTCATGGAAGTGAGCTTTTCCCTGGGGCACCTGCTGGGCATTCCTCAAGACTTCTGAAGACTACTTGCTTTCTGTGTTACAGAGGTCCAGCACCCCATCCTCACCCACAGGCACATCATCATCAGACTCAGGAGGATATCACATTGGCTGGGGGGAGCGGCAGGGCCAGTGGCTACGCAGAAGAAGGCTAGATGGGGCCATCAACAGGGTCCCGGTGGGATTCTACCAGAAGGTGTGGAAGATCCTTCAAAAGGTGAGCTGGGCACTGGGCCATACTCTGCATGCACTGGTACTGAGAGAAGTGTTCCCAGGGAATGAGCCAGCGCTCTATTGCCTCTATGGGACACAGTGGCACTGCCAGGTATCAGGTAACAGATGGCTGCAGAACAAGCAAACACACAGCCTCTGACCTTGAGCAGCTCATAGTCTAGAGCAGGGTTTCTCCACCTTGGCACTGTGTCATCTGGCCCAAGTTATTTTTTGCTGTTGGGAACTGTCCCATGCACTGTGGGGGTGTGTAGCAGCATCCCTGGCCTCTATCTATTAGTTGGTGTCTGCTGGACACTGTGTTAGGTCCTGAGGGTGTTCAGGAGCTTCCAGTGTGGCACGCAGTCCTGTGTGCTCTGAAGGCACAATCTTCCCAACACACACACCCATCCCGAGCTGCTCCTGCTTCCTTCCCTGGAGGACCGGGACCCCCAAGTCCCACCTCCTTAGCCAGCTTCCCACTGCTGTTATGGCTATCCCAAAGGGTTGTGTTTCCCATCTGTTAAAGAGTCATTGGAGGTTGTGGCTGGAAACCAAGGAGAGGTGACACAGCCAGACTGTACTGCACACCTGAACACGGGAAGCCTGTATGAATGCCTGTTGCCAAGGAGGGGGCAGCATGGCCAAAGGGGGCAGATGGGCCCCTTTGTTCTCTGCATTCCATCTCCTCCCACATGGACCTCAGGACATTCATGCAGCTCCCCATGCCCCACCAGAGCTTGTCCTGCCTCTCCCACAGAGAGATGGTATGCCTCAGTTATAAAGCGTTGATCCAAACCAAGACAAATTTTTTTTCCCCCTGAATGATTTCTTTCTAGCTCATTTCACAGTAGGAGAGGAGTGAAAAATGCAGTAATCCCAAGCTGAACATACTCTAGCCCCCTCTGCAAAGTCACAGCACCATTTGGTCTGCATTCTTTCTGTAGCAAATGCCTTTGGCCAGTTGTGGAGATTTGGCCTCTGTGCTTTATGGGTCTGAGGTCTTCCTCAGGGCAGGCGCAAAGCTGGGTAAGAGGAGTTCAGAGCGGACCCTGTCCATAAGCAGCTGGACTCTGATACCCACTAAGGGGAGCCCTCAGAGTTGTGGATGCCCCTCGTGCGCCATCCCCTGCCTCTTCAGGAGTCCTCAGGAAGGGGTGAAGGCAGGGTGGCTGCTGCCGGCACAGCCGGCACACTAGCAGTTAGAAAATGGCCATTAGACTAGGAAAAACTATTCCTAGAAAATCTCCCCATTCTTCCTGGGGCATCATGTTTCCGTCCGGACTTCCACTGGCACAAAACCAAGATGCTTTTATTATGAAAGAGCAGCATTTTGTATTGAGCCTGCTTGATATTTATATATATGGTGTGCATGTGCATGTCTGTGCATGTGCTCGAGTCTTTTGTGATTGGTGCTTTTTATAGAAATCTCGAAAATAGACGCCTGTAAAGGCACAGAAGCATCACTTCACCAGTAGGAGCCATGAAAATCTCCCTTCATTATGGCACCAAAGGGGGCCTGGCAGGCACCAGGGCCCAGTTGCCAAGTGAAACATGGAGCCTCCAGGGAGGAGGATGCCACAGCTCCCAAGGGCATTATTCGTGCAGGATCTGAAAGATGCCTGCTGGTTTCCCTAGAATTGTTCCATCGAAAACACAGCCTGTGGGCAGTGAGAACAGCGCTCTAAAAATAACTGACAGTCTGGCGTGTTCCAGCCCTCGTGCAGATTTCCAGGGTAGGGAGAGCTGTGCAAGCAAGTGCGTGTGTGAACACTCAAGCACTTTTACCATGTTCTAGAATCTGACTGAAATGTCTGTGTTCTTCCTCCAGTGCCATGGTCTCTCCATTGATGGTTATGTCCTCCCATCCTCAACGACCCAAGAGGTATGAGGAGGAGAACCCAGACCTCCGTGGGTTTCTTTTATGGGTTCTGAACGCTCACACGCCTCTCAAGCTTGTTCTGAGTAGTCGGGCTATTTGTAGGTCTGATCTTTTCAGCCACTTCACCCTCAAATTGTGCAGCTTCTTTCCTGTCACCTTTTGTCTCTTTCAGAAACAGCATTTCTAGACTATCAAGCTCCATATTTTCCCCAGGACCCCTGAATACCCCAGCCAAGTTTCCTCTCACACATACTAGACCTACATGCGGCCTCCATGGGCCTCTTTTCTTGAGCTGCAAGAAGGTTTATCCCTGTCCCACCCCATGCATTATTTTAAAAATGGGTGTTTTAGTTTGGCCCTACCCAAGCAGGGAATGATGAGAAGAAAAATAAGAAATAGTCCCTATGCCCTGCAAGTCACAGTCCAGTGTGTAGATAGAGGAGTCTAGGACAAGGCCAACTGGCTCTTGGAGCAGAGTGCTCAGCCTCCTACTCCAGAAGGTTCCCACTGCAGAATCAAGACAGTGGCCAGAAGGGAGGTGGCATTTGAGCTGCGTCCCAGTGGTGCTGAGGGAAGTGTTGGTTACTGGGCTATTTCTGTCCCGTCTCATTGCTGGCCACCTGCCTGTCCCTTTGACAGATGACTCCACATGAAATCAAGTTTGCTGTCCATGTGGAATCAGTGCTGAACCGCGTGCCCCAGCCCGAGTACCGGCAGCTGCTGGTGGAAACCATCATGGTGCTGACACTGCTCTCAGACACAGAGATGGACAGCATTGGGGGCATCATCCATGTAGATCAGATTGTGCAGATGGCCAATCAGCTGTTCCTGCAGGACCAGGTAGGTGTGCCCAGACCATCTGCTCACCCCACAGCTGAAGCCGAATAGTCAGGTTGGCCAGCATTTTTCCTGTTGAAGCTGGAGGTTCTATATCCAATAGGAAGGAGTATGCGCCAAAGAAAATGTCATCAGATGGTGAAAAAATGGCCACTTGGTTAGGAAATGGCACAGTGGCCACTTGGGAAATCAACCTTTGAACAGGCCTGTGTCTGTAGCTTTTAGTCTAAACACCACCACTTGCTACATATGTGGCTCTGGGCAAACCACTTATCCTGTATACAAAATCAGGTTAGGCAAAGAAGCTGCCCTCTCATAGTCAGTGCAGAGCTGCAAACTAGGGTCTGTGAGAACATAGTCCAACCCAGAGCAGAGGCAGAAGGCCCTACCTGCTGGGAGGCACTGGCTTTCTTTAGTGAAGCCTGGACTTGGACCTCTAGCAACCACCCCTCACCCACACTGGCCGCCTCCAACATGCAGAAGAATCTTGTGGGGTGGGGGAGGAGGTGGACTCTGCTCACATTCCCTCTGCCTGTTCCTGCTGCAGGTATCAATTGGAGCCACTGATACCCTGGAGAAAGACCAAGCCACAGGAATTTGCCACTTCTTTTATGACAGCGCTCCAAGTGGGGCTTATGGGACAATGACCTACCTAACAAAAGCAGTGGCTTCTCACTTGCAGGAACTGCTGCCCAGTTCAGGCTGCCAGATGCAGTAAGACTACAACTATAAACATGATCACCTCTGAATCTGTCACTTGCCTCCTAGCCTCATTGGGAATTTTCTTCTGTCCCCCAAGATCCCCTATGCTGTCACAAAAGCATGTCCCATCAGAAACATTCACTGGGAGGAGATGGCAGCACTGAAACCAATGTATGTTTAAACCACAGATAGAACTGATGAATCCTGTGCTCCCCCAAGGAGCACCCTGGGATCATTTTCTAGGTTCATTTTGCTGGAACATTTGTCACAGCATCTGGTCTCATGGACTCTAAGAAAGAATTAGAAATTGGTCTCTTTTGAGTGCAGAGCGAACTGAGAAGCCAGCTTAAATTGGCTCTCAGAGAGTTACAGAAATAGGTTCGATGAGCTAGTGACACATCTTAAAGACAGAAAGATCCTTCCAGCAGCAATAGCTAGACAAGCAGACCTTGACAGGGGAACATCTTAACAGGATGCAGTCTGTCTGGGGTCCAAACTGTTTACCAAATAGAACAATTCTATCTTTCTGTAGAATTTTCACTATCTTGTACCCTGCTTTCTTCTTAGCTGCTCTGTTAGCATGGCTGACTTCATGTAACAATTCTCTGTTGCCAAGATTTATACAATTGCTCCCAGTTAATTTTGGCTCACATCTTCAAGAATTTTATTCTGGCTGCCCATGAATTGGGGGTGTCTCCTACCTTATGAAAACTCCCACATCTTCCAGAATCTAGGGGGAAAAAAAGGTGAGACTCTGAATTTTTTATAATAGCCAAACAAATTGTTGTTTTGGAGCTGGAGCAGGTAGGGAGTCCCCTGTCTCTTCCCTCCCAGGCTCAAGAGGAACCATCACGTGATGAATGAGTCACTAGATGCCATGGAAATTAATTGTGTGTTCCCACAGAAACATTGCTTCCCTCTTAAAAATAGAGCCAGGCTGGGAATTTGAACTCTTTTCATAAAAGCATTTGCATCCTCACTCTCGGGTGTGGTTGGAGATAATGGTTGTAGAGAAAGATGGGTTGTGACAGGGTCTGGCAAATCTTTTGCCAGGTGTCCTTGTGAATGGAGTTTCTCTCCAGGCAGTGTCTTCCCCTGGGGGGGATAAACATTAGAGAGAACAATTTCCATAAATAATACACCTTGAAAGACAGGTCATCTGGTGGCCAAGGGGTGCCCTCTGTTTGGGTGACAGTGATGGGTTAGATTCATGATGATGCTGCCTCTGAAATGGAAATGAGACTACTGGATCTGTCTCTCGTTCCTTGAAGTGTCTGTGGAGGGGGGAGAAGAGAGGATGATGCTGTAGCTGCTTTAAGGGGCCACAGCTCTGCCTAGCACCCCTCAGAGTCAAGATGCAGTACTGATAGTTATTCTTAAAGCAGAGGAAAGGTACGTGACTGCCCCCTGGCAGAGTCTTTCTTTAGGCCAAACCAGGTGTTTTAGTTGCTCCTGGGAGAGGCCATGGTGACAAGAGCAGCCTCCCTTTGCTCATCAGGGCTTGGTGGTGTGCAGATGCCACTCACCAGGGACTTTACTGCCTTTGGTTCCATTTCTTCCAAATCACAATACTCTCCCTGCTGAGCTAAGAGTAGTTACATAAAGAACAAGCCCCGGAGGAGTCCGTCAGTTCCTGCCACGGATTTACACATTCCTTGCACAGGCACAGATCCCAGAGACTATGTGGGCAGCTGGCCTGCAGCAGCCCATACACAGGCCTGGCTCCACGCCCTCTCCCCCAGGCTCCTGCACAACCCCTACACCTTCCCATTCACCTCTCCCCTTGGAGAAGGATGAGGGTGCCAAGGTGGCAACAGGACTGGAAGGAAAAAAGCCTTAACCAGCCTGTTCGCTGCCATTTGCCTGAAATCCACAGGACACAACCTCCCTGGTTTCCTATATTTTTCATAGGCTTTTTTTTTTTGGGGGGGGGGGGCTTTAAGACATGCCCAACATCAGCATGAGTCAGAGGGTAATGTAATTGCCTGACTCCTTGGTGGATCATTTTCAAACACATGCTATAAGAAAAGTAGGATGGGCTTCAGATAGAGCTCAGTTGGTAGAGTGCTTGCCTCGCGTGCACAAGGCCCTGGGTTCAATCCCCAGTACCACAAAAAAAAAGAAAGAAAGGTACGAGGCACGAAAGTGCCTGTTGCTGCTTGGAAGAAGCTCTAGGAAGAGCTAGAACACGCCAAACTAGCCAGGTGCCAATTCAGAATAATCACCTGCCTGCCAATGACCTGCAAAGCCACAGCTGCTATGTTTGGGCCCCAGCGAGCTGTGGGCCTGGAGGGGAGCCATAATAAATGACTTAACCACTTCTTCGAGTCACTCTTTGAAACCTCTTTAAATGAAGCCCTGAAATAGGGCTGCATTTCCACAGGCATCAAGCTGTCAGCTTCAAAGAAGGAGAATAGGCTTCTGAGGCTTGATCCCTTTAGTGAGCAGCTGAGGCTACACCGAGGAGCAGAGCAGATGTTTGAGGGGGATGGGGGATGGGCGATGGTATGGTACAAGTCCTGCAGCTGACACCAACCTTGCCTGGGGGGACTTGGTTTCCCCACTGCAGAGTGGCCCCAGAGCCTTAGGTCTGCACTGGCTCCTCCCCTTCCCTGAGGCTGTGGGAGGGGAGCTTTTCCTATCTCTCCCCTCAGTGCTGACCTGACAACTTTGACCTTTACTGAGGCTGTTGGGTTACAGTGTTCTGTTTCAAAGGACAAGCTTGTGAAGTAAAGAACTAACATAAGTTGAAAAGCCACTGGCTGCCCCACTGGGTGCTCTCATCTGAGATGAGTTTAGTATTCCTGCACTTATTCTGTGATCTTGGACAAGTAAGTTAATGTTGCACCTCACTTTGCCCATCTGCAAAAAAGTCAAGAGGCCTAAGAACTGACACAGGACTAAGCATGCTGAACTCACCTGTCTTTGGCTGTTGGAGTGACCAGATATGCTCTATTGGCAACCCCAGGCTGGCCAACTGAGGATAGGAAGCTCTGTTTGTCATGCCCAGTGTTTCATGGGGTGGAAATCTGTCAGGTCAGAGGATCTGCCTCTCTTCTAAGGCATGGTGACAGGAAGGAGAATTGTTAGGCCTCAGCTGCCTGGATAAAGAGGATGCAAATGCTCCCTGTGTTAAAAAAAAAAAAAAATCAGGAGGCAAGAGAAACAGTTTGTCAGTTGATTGATGCCATTTATTTCTGGACAAGATGACAGGAGGCTTGGCCTCCCTTGAAGTAAATTACAGCAGAATCATTTCAGTTCTGTTGACTCACACATAAGTTTAGCAAATAGCTTTTGTCTTTTCTGCTTCCTTGTCAAAGGGTACAAAAGTCTCCCATCTATCCTTCCCTTTACACCATTATCTTTCAAGGTGACTCTTATGCTTTTGAAGTCCCTGCCATCTGCTCTGTACAACTCTGCATTTTGCAGGATGTGAGAGCATCGTGTTCCCAGAATGCCTTCTGTTCTCCCAGACTTGGCCATGGAAAGATCTGCCTGTGAAGTGAAAAGACAGCAGCCCCGTCATTCTCTTAGAGCCCAGTCCCCCTTTTCTTCCTCAAAAAGCCACTTAGGAGGGGCTGGGGTTGTGGCTCAGTAGTAGAGTGCTTGCCTAGCATGCGTGAGGCACTGGGTTCCATCCCTGGCACTATATAAAATAAAAAATAAATAAAATTAAGGTATTGTGTCCATCTACAACTAAAAATAAATAAATATTTTTTTAAAGCTACTTAGGAAAAAATCCATGGCCTTTGAGTTACCAAGGGAATTCTTTGAAGAATGAGAGTACCAGAAACTGTGAGAAAGACTATTCTCCAATCTAATGTGTGTTCAATGGCTTGAAAAAGAGGAACATTCTGTATGTGGGGTATGTGTGTGTGTGTGTGTGTGTGTTTAAATGTGCAATTTTGGCAAAAATGCCTTCTTAGAAGGGCTGTAATAATTGGAACCAATGAACTCTGAAGTCATGTGATTTGTCCCCCTGCCTTAGTGCAATATGTAAACTATTCTGAAAAAAATGAATGAATCCCGAAAGCATTTGCTACATCCCTAGGCATGGAGAAGTGTGGACTGGCAAGGTGGCAGATGAAAAAAAATACCCTGTTCATTTTTGAAGGCCTCTGAAAAAGGACATTCACTAGGCTGCTGAGATAAGCATTCCTCACCCCAGTCCATTGACACATTCACCTCTCAATCCTAAATCCTATGCAGTTTGGGCCCATTTCTCAGCTGGTAGCTACCAAAGCCTTCCACCTCTAGCTGTACCTGCACATCGGGCATGAGGAATGGTTGTGCTTTTGCACTTGCCTTTTTGAGAGACCTTTTCAGACACAAACCCAGGAGGGATGTGCCAAGGAGAAATCCCAGTAACTGGCTGTAATCTCTCAGTCTTTGTCATTGGGTCTGAATTCTTACTTGCAAATAACAAACCAACTCTGCCTGGGTTAAGGAAATATGTTTCTTACAGATTGGATAAGTTACATGTCACCAGATTTAAAGCTCCCGAGCCAGGACCAGAACCCTCTATCACTTCCCACTACTCCCAGCCTCACACACTGAGGCTTAAACCCCAGATACCCCAGATGCTGGACACTGCCATCTCTTCTGCTCTTTTGGAAACAGAATATAGAGGCAACCTCCTGTCACCAGAATGCATTGCAAACAGCCACTAGCTGCTGTGCAAGGTCTCAGGCAGTGTGCTGCATCAGCTAAGGGGATGCTGTTAGCTGAGCAGGAGGTTAGAAAAGCCATTATCCAAAAGTTCTGCCTTCTATAGTGGAGAGGGGTGGGGAGTCAGTTTCACAACATGGAGATACCCCAGATACAGGAAGGGGGTTCGAATGCTAAACATCTATCTAAAATTAAGAGTCCCCTCCAGCAAGGAATCTTGGGTTTTGTTCCTTTGTCCACAAAAGAAGGACCTGTGCCCCTCCAGGTGTCCGCCCTGGAGAACTGGCCATAAAGGCATGTTTGCCTTCTGGAGAAGGCTGTGCAGCAGGAGTGAAAGGGCATGCAGGGACCCCTCTCCCAAACCAAGGAAGTCATCCCAGTGCCAC